GGGGGGGGGGGGGGGGGGGGGGGGGGGGGGGGGGGGGGGGGGGGGGGGGGGGCGACTTGTGTGCGCGCACACATGCGTAAGCGCCACGTGTGCCCACTCAAGCTCTGTGAGCGATAAAACATGTGTCCTTCACGGTGCCCTCGCCCTGGCATGTCAGCCTAAGCAGACCGGGAAAGTCACACTCTCAACCTTTACATTTGCAGGCGTGGGGAACTAGGGCTTCGGGTTGAAGTTCAGGGCTTTCGGTCAGGGAGTTGGGACGCGCCAAACTTTTTGAAAAACTCTGCGTCCAACCTTACATTGACGATTCCCTGCAGCCGCCAACATATCTAAAAGGCTGAGCGCGAATCACCTCGTGATCACCTGCTCTCCATGCCAAAAGCATCTTTGCTGAGTGTACTCCAGCGCTCTCAGGGTATAGCTGGGAGGGAGGGGGAAGTGGGGGGCAAGGTGGGGGGGAAGGTGGGGGGGAAGGTGGGGGGGAAGGTGGGGGGGAAGGTGGGGGGGAAGGTGGGGGGGAACACAATGCGTCACAATGCGTCCATCTCATGACTCTCCAGGGATCCCATGTGGCACAAGCCCGCTGCCGACACATGAACGGGACAGCTGCACCTGGCAGTTCAGCAAAGCTTGCACCCATCCTCCATGAACTAAAAAACACCCCCCAAAAAACAAGTCCTCTCATAAGGATGCTTCAATGTCCCTGAAGACATCCCTGCAAATTATGCAAGCATGCCCAAGCTCTGCTGTCGTGCTGTCCCCACCTGCATCCCGCCGCGCTCCCGGAGTATCCACGAGGTCCACGATGTGGGCAATGGCTGCCAGAATCTGAGATCACAGGCTGCTTCAATTGCCACAGGTTGAGCTGCTCTCGCTAGAGACCCTCTGGGAGCCTACAGCCCCACCACCAAACACATCCTGGACTGCAGCCAAGCCACCCAAACAGGGGCATCGTTTTCAGCCGAGCCCAGGACCTGCCCATTGCAAGGCACGACATGAAGGCCACCCAACGTCAAGGTGTGTGAGCAGCAGCCAACTTTTGATGCGGGAAGTCCCAGTCTGAACTTTGCTCGCCTCGAAGGTGGCGTCCTCGCCCCTTGATTCACATGCCTGTGAGGCGATGTCTGGTAAACATGTGCTTCTTCCTTTTGCCTTCCCATGTCTTCCCGCTGGCAACACTTCCACCGCACACGCACCTCTTTCAGCTGCGATGCGAGCAGGCCTTAGTTTCGCATGGTTGCCGTTCTCTAGCCTTGCATGCAGCATGTTGCAGAAGGCCCCTAAACTGCGAATCTTGCAAGAAGTGCAGGTCAGGACTTGCACTTACACGGTCCTAGAATCCAAGCCTCATGGATGGTTGGACTCCGACACGCGCATCTGCTTCCGAGCTGCTCAGCGCACCGAGCCGCGCAGCCTCCACTGCTGCAGCTTTGGAGCCGGCAGTGAGATTCCTTGAAAAGTCGCCCCAATCACTGCTGAGCATGCTGACGTCGATGAGCTTTTTTTAATATGTTGAAATTCTTGCCAACCTTTTGTGGGCCAGCTGCATGTCCTTCTTCTGCTGGCTCGTCCGTGCCGCGACCACTACTGCGACCACTACTGCGACCACTACTGCTTCTCCTGCTCCTACTGCTACTACTGCTGCTGCTGCTTGTGGCCGCAGCAACGGACTTCATTTACGCTTGCGACAGTCGGGCGATTTCTCGGCTGCACACCCTGGCAGGTCTAGAACATGTCATCCATGCAAATTCAACACCTTTTGAGACTTGCAGAGCTCGAGTTTCTTCCCCCATTAATCTAGATTTCGCGATCCTGGACCTCGAAGAAACGGAAAACAAATAACCAACTAGATGCAGCTGGCAACAGAACGATCTGTGTGAGTTGAGCGGCTTGTCAAGTTTTAACAGTTGACATATAAGGCCGCACACAAGGGAACATTTGTACGTCGCTTGAACATCACTATGCTGCACTGACCGGTGAGCGCCAGTTACTCTAGTTTGGTCTATTTTCCATGATGGTCGAACACCCCCAATCTTCGGTGCATGCTTTGCATGGGTAGCAAAATAAATAACAGTGCTCGCCAGGGACTGGCATCGGCGAGCGTTGCCTAACAACTCATCGCAGCCAAAGGCTCTTGCCAGGAAAATTGTGGGTAGCGCCAACACTTAAAGAACAACGGTCACATTTACTGTCTCCTAAGCAATACTCGGAACGGTGCAGGGAGAATGCAGCAACGGGAAAGGCGCACGTCTTCTTGGGGGGTTTAGCATCTGGACTGCACGAGCCTACTTGACAGAGAGAGCAAGAGAGACAGAAGCAACAAGGCAAAAGGTTAGGGAAACGGCCTTTCTCTGCATTGCAGTGACAGTCTGCTGCACACGTTGTCACGGATGTATTCCCACCGCCTTTATCGACACTTATACTAGGGACGCGCAGTTTCTTTGCTCCACTTGTTGTTTCGGTACCTTGACTTTTCAACTCTCAGCTCACCAGCCACTCAATGCCTCTCGCCTGACCCCCATCAGTCCTAGCATTCAGAATGGTTCTTGCAATGCACAACATTGCGGGCCAGTCCTTCACGAGCAATTGTGCAACTGAGGCCCCTGGCGCCAGGGCACCTGCGGCTACATCCCGGGCCTCCGCGGAGCGGAGCAGGGTGACCTTACAAAGCCGAAGCAATTGAGAGCACGAGAGCGCAGCAAACGAAAGGCTTTGGGAGTGTGGTGCTGTCTGTGCTGTCTGTGCTGTCTGTGCTGTCTGTGCTGTCTGTGCTGTCTGTGCTGTCTTCGCTAGTCACCTAGCAGCGTTCTCTGGCACTCGCAGCATAGGTTTGGAAAGTATCTTCCACAGGCGAGTGCGATAGACCATCATTTTCATCGGTCATACTCCAACCCTACATGCACATCATCCAAGCAACTGAAACAGTCAAGCTGCAAACGAAGGTGTCTTTTCTCAAAAAACAAAGCAAGGCATCCCGATCCCACAAGCGTGGGCCCAACCCTGGAGCAAGTTTTGAGTCCCACAAGCCTCCCAGCCGTGAACTTGGACCCTTGTCATGATGTCAGCCATTCTTCGAGGATCCTTCCGAAAAGCAAGAACTCAACTGAAGCACCTCAACTGAAACTCAACTGAATGATCCTCAGTATGTCGGGAAAGCCTCTGGGCCCTCTTGGGACATCTCGGGACCCCGACCAGTTTTGGCAGGATGCCCTTCTTGAGCAGCTTGTCACCTCAAGGCAGACAGGGAGAGGAGGTTGCCAAATACCCCCCCCCTAACAATGGTGAGTCATCCTGCTTAAACAAAATCTGCCACGGGCCAAGCTGCGGTCTTTTGCCACGGGTGCGAGGTTCAGAAGGCCTCGAGAAGCCTCTTTGGCCTCAGCTCTTGTTTCCCCATTCCCCAAGATTGGCCATGCATATACAGACAGCAAACACGTCTGTTTTTGAGACATCACGTCAACCTAAAAGACATGCCAAACCTTCATGAATGCTCACATGTATGAAGAAAGGTGTAGGTAGGTCTAGGATTTAGGGTCGTAGTGGGTTGGGCCCCTTTCTGCCTCATGTACACTTTTGGGTTTAGGGCTGAAAGCGTTGGCTTGAGGATTTCGGGCTTGAAGTAGCAGCTGACAGCTGAGGAATTCATGTGACAGGCAGCCTCTTTAAGGGGCTTGCTTTGAGGTGCTGGGTTTAGACGAAGTTTGGGTTCACCTAGGAGCCTGGAGCGTTAGAGAAGCTTACGCCTGGAGACCACAGTCTGGGCTCGCAACGAGGCTGCCCTGGTCCTGGGTAGGGGATGCAATACTTCGGGTGACGGGTAATCTCAGTGAAGCTGTGCTGCGCTGTGCTGGGACCGGGACTGTCAATGCCAGAAGTGCCTGCCATGTCCGACAGCAACGTTCCCGCGCGTGGTACGGAAGGCATGTACACAAGTCAGGACATGCAGAAAACATCGGCAGGGGTGGGTGTTAAGCACTTTGGGAAAACTATGTCTATTTTGGGGGGCCAGGCTTTCAGACTACATAGTAGGTTTGAAATGACTGTCATCGTAGTTTGGGGGGATATATGTGGGATTTGAAGCCCGGGTCATGGGTGTTATGTTAAGGGTCTAGCTTACAGGGTAACGCTGCAAAATGCCAGCGTTTGGGGATAAAACGCTGTAAATAGCAGTCTGTTGGGCATGGTCGCGAAGGCATGGACGCTTGTGACAGATTTTCTTGTTCCACATCCTTGTGCATTATGTTGTACAAAGAAGCGAAAGCACTGTAAAGACCGGCGTTTTGGGCATGGACGCGGTATGAATGACGTTCTTATCCCCCCCACCCCCCACCCCCCCCCCCCTTCCCCGCCCCCACCCCCAACCCCCCCAGCCCCCACCCCCCCCCCGAATGTGCTCGAAAGCACGCGCGCGGGAACGCACCCCAGTACTACTTAGAGACCAAGCCTCGCTTGTTCCTCCCTTCGGCTTGGATATGGCTAGCCATGTTCCAGAACATAGCTCGGAAATGCTTGGAAGTGCTTTTTCCTGACAACGTAACCCCGACCGTTGGCTAACGCCAAGACCGCCAGCTGGGTAGTATGAACCAGATATTGAACCAGATCGCAAAAGGTCAGATCGCAGGTGGCGCGAACCGGCATCTCCCGTTGGCCTCTGGGGCCCCAGATGCTGCCACCGAGACGCGCGAAGCCTGTCCGGTGACGCAAAGGATCCCCCCCCCCTCCCTCAAGACCACGAAATCCAAAAATGCGTAAAGCCATGCTGCACTGCCTCTCGCGAAGCGAGTAGCGCAATCGCCCGAGCCAGGTGCCGTCCTCGAGTGTCGAGCGCAGAGCGCAGAGGGGAGCAGCTGAGGTGCCGAGCTAAGGATGCTCAGGACGAGCATCAGATTATCAAGATCCAGGCCTGCTTGAACATTCGCAGCCTTATTCCCCGGCGTCAAACACCCTCGATGCTGAACTTGGTGCGTGGCGCGTGTTTGTCTCGAGTGGCTGCTTCTTGTTCGTGAGTAGAAAGGCAAGCCTGTGCGAAGCCACGAGATGCCACCAAGAGATCATGCCTGTGCCACTTTGACGACAACTTTGAGCCAGGGCAGAGCAATCCAAAAGCCCTTCAAGCAATGTCTCTGTGACGGAGTGGAGTCAGGCCCATGGGCTTAAGACCCATCCTTCTTGGCAAGTCCGGGATCTCGAGGAAAACCTGCCAAGGCGGACAGAGAAACCAGATCACTGCTCCTTCCTCAACGAAATGAGCACGTTTTGCACCACGAGGTCATGGGGACGTGAAAGAATCTTGAAGTGAATATGCCGAAAGACTGCAAACAGGCTGGAAACTCGTGCGCCAAACCGATGCCCCTTGCAACCCGTGTCGTGCCTTTGCTACACTCTCCGGGCTATCTTCCAGGAGGTTGGCCAGGCCGACAGCGGCCTGTTCCTTGAGGGCCTCAGTCGCAAAGTGGGCCACAACCCTTGTCCGACAGAGTGGTACGCATGACAACCCAGGACATGCGAGAGCCGCGTCCCTCGCCGTTCCGTGGGGGGGGAGTGGGGGGAGATGTACCAATCAGGGTTTATCCAGCAACCTGGCTTCTAATCCGAAAGTGCACTGCCCTCAGGGTCTAAGCCGGATCTGTAGAACTCTCGATGGCTGTGACCATGGGCTTCAGCAGACCGGCCCGCAGCAACCTCTGCCATGTAGGGGGACACACACACACACGTCCTTTAACAGTTCATACAAGCACCGCATGCAAGCGTAGGAACAGCGCTACACACGGCGTAAGCATTCAGGATCAGGAAAGCTTTTGGGGGGGGGACTGACAAGCTGGCAGCTTGCCACATGTTAATCTGTCGCACCCTGGGCGTTACGACGTTTGAGCCCTGGAGTGCCATGGAGTGCCATGGGAGCGCCTGGCTTTCGCGGAGCTCTGGGCTGCAAGGTTGGCTGCCAAGGCCAGTGCAGCCATGCGGCCCCTGACACATCGGGGCTGAAACCCCCCATATATACATATACATATATATATATATATACATATACAGATATGTATATATATACATATATATATATACATATACATATATACATGTTAGTATCAGAAATACATACATATATAGATGTTAGCATCAGAAAGCGACTTTGACAAAAACAACAAGCTGAGGAGCCCCCCCTTCTTGGAGCCTTGGAGGTTGGTCTTCGTGCGGCTTCAGCACGTCCACCACTCTCTGGATCGGGGTCCTCTGACATGAAAGGTCTGCCAGGAAGAAACAGCTTTTTCTCGCTCCGTTCCTTTTCTTTCTCAGGGGAGGAGGGCTCACAAAGGGTTCAGGAAAGGGGGGGGGGTTGAGGGATCTCTAGGGTAGTGAGAGGAAGATGCCCTCCACTGCCAGAAGAAGTTCGAGCCGAAGCTTGGGGGGGGGGGGGAGTGTTAAAACTGTTACAGCAAACCCCAAAAAAAGTTGGAACATTCTTTTCCCCATACCACGATCGGTATACGAAAGGGAATCCCAGCTTTAATCATCCTGAAACCATGTTCCAACTTTCTGGAGCTTACTGTAGATTTTGACACAGGTAGACATGAGCTTGGTCTTTCTCAGCACAACTCCACAGCCAAGAAGCATGTGGTAGATTTCCACTGCCAACTCCGGCATCTGCCAGCACAAGTTGGCCAACAGGCCGAAAACCTCGGTGTATTCGTGCCCTTTATATCTTTACATCATACCAGAGCCATATTAGAGCCAGCCCACGCATCACAGAAGAACACGCACTCGCCCAGTCGAATGCAAAGACAGAACCATACAGAACTACCTCTCGTTGAGACCCTGCCTGTGCCGGTCGTACCTTAGAAGCATGCAAGGGTAAGGATCGGCTGTGGATATGGCTCAACCTCCTACCATCAGAGAATGCCGCTTGCCGAACCTTAGGCCGATCTGGGAGGCGAGCAGATGACTGGAGCAACTTGGAAAGCACCTGGCTTCTGATTGAAGACTGGTGAAGCCAGCAGAAGAAAAGGAGCGCCATGGGAGGACCACTTTGAAGGCACTCCATCAAGCTCGGTTCGCTGCGAGATCACTACTGCTTGATGCTGTCTTTGGTTCCAGATTCGGTAGGGGCAGGCACCTGGAGAATCCCGGCGTCCACAGCAGTCTGGGCAGCCTCGGCGAGCGAAGTCACTCTGGGTAAATACCCCCACTCAACAACCCCACCAGTTGGGGGGACATGCTTTCCATTTTGGGATGGGTATTCTAAGCTTTTTGGTTGGGCATCTTTATTACTACGTTCCAGGATGCTGCTCCAATTCCTACTATCATACCCGCGTGCACCCTCCCGAAGCCCTGAAGCAGGAAGCTTCAAACAGCTTGGCATGGGGGACCACCTGAAGTTTGCGAAACCCTCAACCCGAAACCCTAACCCCTAAACCCTAAACCCTAAACCCTAACCCCTCAACCCTTAACCCTTAAACCCTAAACCCTAAACCCTAAACCCTGGGCCTCCCGGCCATGGGCCCTGAGGTGGCAATGATGTTCGCCAGGGCGGCTGCGGCGTTTTCGGCCCCAAGGAGGCTGGGCGGCTCGCCTCGAAGACTCGAAGCAGAGTTTAGGGTTTAGGGTTTAGGGTTTCGGGTTTGCTGTGATAGGGCGTAGAGGCTGTGAAGGTTAGGCTTTGGAACAAGCTCGAAAGCTTCGTGAGGCGCGAAAAGCAGCTTTGGCCCGATTGTGGAAGGCCACCTAACACTTTTCTCCCACCCCGCGCCGTCCGAGGCGGCAAAGCCACCCAAACCTATTCCTTTTGGCCTAAACTCAAGCCAACTGCTTACTTTCCATAAAACTTCTTCATTCCGTCACGGTGGTCGCAAAGGCAACCTCCACAGGCAGGAGTGCAGAGAGGCCCAGGTGGAGAAGGCCCACAAGGTCCAGACCCAAAGAGGCGGAAGGTGAGGGCAAAGTGGGGCCCTGGGGTTAGGTATAGCAAAACGGCTGGGGGCCCCTGCTCCCAACCATGGGATGGCAGCAAAGGGCTCGGGCCTGCTCACCAGATTTTCAGGACTTTGCGGGAAGACATCAATGGTGCGGGGTTTGGGGTCCTCATTAACTTACGCCCTTGGTCTAAGCGTAGCCAGGCACTCCCGTCTACCGGGAGGCTTTGCCCTGCCTCACCGTTCTGTGAAGATGCTCGGTCGGGGACCTCAGTCGAAGCCTCGAGCGCCCATGCAAATTTAGGGTTTAGGGTTTAGGGTTTAGGGTTTAGGGTTTAGGGTTTAGGGTTTAGGGTTTAGGGTTTAGGGTTTAGGGTTTAGGGTTTAGGGTTTAGGGTTTAGGGTTTAGGCTTCAGGGTTCAGGGTTCAGGGTTTAGGCTTCAGGGTTCAGGGTTCAGGGTTTAGGGTTTAGGGTTTTAGGTTTTTGGTGTTTTTTTTAACCCCAATGGGTTTAGGGTTTAGGGTTTAGGGTTTAGGGTTTAGGGTTTAGGGTTTAGGGTTTAGGGTTTAGGGTTTAGGGTTTAGGGTTTAGGGTTTTTCAGGTTTAGGGTTTAGGGTTTAGGGTTTAGGGTTTAGGGTTTAGGGTTTAGGGTTTAGGGTTTAGGGTTTAGGGTTTAGGGTTTAGGGTTTAGGGTTTAGGGTTTAGGGTATGCTCCGGGAGTTGTCAGCATCTTTCCACAAAGGGTTCATTCAGCCCTGCTTTCCATGCGCATAATCTGGGCTGAATGGCTCGCTGATATCTGATACTACTCATAGGCGCTGAGACGAACACCTTCCGGAGACACCTCCAGAAAGTGCATCAGGCGCGGAATGGCCATGGAGCGGTAGACTGCCTCCCGCATCCCCCATAAATCCCTCGTCCACCCCCTGCCATAGTCAGCTCGGTCACAAGCCCTTCCAGCTCGGAAAGTCGGAAAGGTTAAGATGTGCAAAGCATACTAACACATACTCTAACGCATATTCTGTCCTTCCGGCAGTTCTCCCCATGACCACTTAGAAGGTTGGCCAGTGCCGCAGCCGCCCGCTCACGGACCTCGAAACTGCACCCTAAAGCCCCTTTGGATGCACTTAGGCCACTGGGCGCATAAGCTTCGCTCAAGAGTGCGTGGTCCCAGGCAGCGGACCGCTAGCGAATGGCAATCCTCGAGGTAACCACACAGCACCTGCACCCACGACAGAGCTTCCAACACCTTTGATTTGACCTCAATATACCTGAGTCATCCTGAATTAGCTCCGTCGGCCTCCACAGCGCCGTTGGCACCGATGGCCTCTTGAGCACCTTGTGCTAGAACCCGATTTGCAAAGAACGTCTCGTCACCGAAGCATCCTTGAAAAGCTTCTTCCGTGCAGGCCTCCGGCCATCAGCAAGGATGTCAGGGCACCCAAAGCATTGATGAGCACCTGCTGGGAAGATTCTCCAAGGACCGAAGTACCAGCATTACCACATCGAGACTTCTCGAGACTGCCCAAAGCGCTCGAGATATTTGCCACGGCCCCGGGGCCGAGGGCGTGCGAAGGTTCTCTGCAGTCACCCCTTCCCTTTTCCCTGCGTTTTGGGGAGTTGTCCACTGTCCACCCTGGCCTAGGGAGACGGGACTAGGGACAAGGGACAACCTGAGACTTTTCTTGGCCAGCTTGGATTGCACCCTGCAGCGACCTGCGGCGCGGCAACATGCATACCCCTTGAACCCGGCAAGCCGACTGTGCAGATTGGGCCGAGCCCGGGCCGGGGCGGTCGATATGCCCCGGTATGCAGAGTGCACAGTTACGTGAGAAGTACTTGACGCAGTGCAGTCGCAACCTCTTCATCCAGCGTGGCCTCACATGGGCGGAACAAGTGTAGCGGCTGGGGTCCTGCTGCGCGCCACAGATTCTTTTCCTGCGAGAGCTTGATAAACCTCCTGAAGCTGCTGGGTCCCAGGCCGAAAGGATTGGCAACAGGACCTCGTCCGCACTTCGAGTTGGCAGCTCGTATGAAGTACTTACGTGATCGGAGGATATCAGAGGGAATGGCCCGAGACTTGGGGGCTGCGAGATTGTAAGATGTCTTTACATGTCTCAGAATGCCTGAGCAGACTAGGCTCCGCGCCGCGGCCGCGCCCTCGCGGAAGGCGATGGCAGCGTGATCGCGTTGCCCGACCTGCGGTGCGCTCTCAGAGCATGAGATTCATGATGGTTCATGTGTCCCAACATTGCCACAACTTGCCTGGATGTTCCAAAGGGCGTAGGAAGCCTCTTTGGCAGCACCCTGCGAATTGACACGGCACGGAGCTTTTTCAAATTTCTTGCTTGCCCCAGTTGAAGCTTCGAGGTCTATCGGGCAGAGAGCGTTCCGACGCCGGGACAAACAACGGAGCTCTTCCTTCCTTGCTTGTTGAGCAGCCTGTCCTCTCACCCTGCCTCGGCGCGCCGCCCAAGCAGGCGCACCAGGGACCTGTCGTTGTAAATGTTAAGTTTCCTTGTCTCGACGCCTCGTAGCTTTTCACAAGAGTCTTAAGAGTCTTGAGAGGAATCTTGGAGCGCGAGCAATCTCTGTCAATGACACTCAACAAAGCCGTCGTGCAAATAGCCGCCCAAGTCCACCTGATTGCTCCAGCCCGGCCGGCGCGCGCCTCGAATCGAGCTGTCGGGACTTCTACTGGACAGGGAAAGTGTGAACGTCATTGAACGTCAGCTGCCTGCACCACCGGGTGCCGATAGCAGATGCGGCCCAGCCTCGGCATCAAGTCATGCTTAGGGTTCGTCCTGTGCCACATTTGTACGATGGCACATGCGCTTGCTGTGCCCGTTTTCTGCAATGACAGTGTCGGAGCAGAAAGGCAGTAGCTACCAAGCAAGCTTCACCTTTTTTCCCCGCTTTCAGCTTTGCCTGGCCACTTCCGGCAATGACAGCCTGTTCTGCTCTCAGCATTGCACTGAGGACAGCAGGAACTGTCCGGCCACAGGCCATGACACGGGCCAAGGGTAGCACGACTGCACCTAGAAATTCACATGTTCCACCCTGCGGGATTTCTCCAGGATCAGCATCTGCCTGCTGAACTCCTGAGCTGTTGACTGCCGCGAGAGCTGCTCCGCAGATCGAACCAAAGTGCCTTAAGACACATTGAGAGCAGGGCAAAGAATGGCAAAGAATACAAGAGAAGACTATGGGGGGGGGGCAGACCATTCATAGGCCTGATGTCTCAGGATTGGCATGATTGGCCCAGTATTCTTGATGAACTCCAGCAGACTTCGCCAGGCTTTGGACTACTAGGTCTGACGAAGTGTGCCGCTTGGCGAATATATCTTGCAAGTGCAGCGTTTGCTTGGAGCTACTGAACCATACTGTCCCGCATGCAGCTACTGCCTAAACAGTTTTGTTTAACAGCTCGCGGTGGTGCCAAGGCTCCACGAGCATTGAGCAGCTGGTGGTCGAAGCTTCGGCGATCGAGCTCCTCGAGGTCTCTCTGCTGGCGGACACAGACAGCGGTGATCACAATGCTGCCGACATAAGCCGTGTGCAACGCGTCGGTTAGCGGCATCTGAAGAACAAATATTATCCACAGAATAAAGACAGCACCGTTGACAAAACAGAACAACAGCGTGTCAACAGTTTGCATCTGCTGCATGAAGACCATGGAAATGTTCGTCATGCCTAGGCCGATGACAGAACTGAATGCCTCGACCTGCACTGCTTGCAGCTGTGTGGATCCATCTGTGGCGAGAGAAACGAGCAATGGCTGGCAAATAACGCACCGACCAAAGAAGAATGTACAGAGGAGAACATTGTGCCACACTCGCCAGCTGTTTGGTGTAGAAGGCGATGCAAACATGAGCAGTTTTCGGACAATCAGTCCAGCTCCAAAAGCCATGTAGAAAAGGAGGACCAAAAGCACCCGATAAGGTGGGTTCATGGCAATGTCCCAGCAAAGCATCAAGAGCGTAGCCAGCGCCGACCAGTCCATGCAAACCCAAGACCGTCGTGTGTAGTGCCACTGAAAAAGACTCTCCACCGTCGGATCACTGAACGGGCTGTCGGCAGGAAAAGAAAGAAAAAGCATCACTTTAATGTCCTGCTTCAGCTGTTTCAAGCCCTCGCACATGTGCTGCCGGAGCGCTTGCGAAGGGAAGCCTGGTCGTTTCCCCTCGGAACGCCTCGCAGCATTCGCGGCCTGGGGGCTTGAGCTGGAGCTCGGAGGATCCTTCGGAGCCTTCGAGGCACCACCATCACCACCATCACCACCTTCTCCGCTTCTGGAAGCTTCTGCCGCCTCTGTGTTCTCTGGGGCCTCTGAAACCTCTGGGACCTCTCCGGCCTTCGGAGATTCTGGGGCCACAGCCGGATCTGGGTCGGGGCCGGGGTCGGGGCCGGGGTCGGCTGCGACTTCGGCAATCTCCTCTGCCTTCGGCCCAAGCAGGCGATGCAGTAACGAGCCGATGGCTGTCTCTTGGAACCACGTCTGAAGCTCCTCGCAGTGCACATCGTGACAATTCCGGACCTTTGCTAGCTTTCTGTTCTTCTAGAATCCTAGAAAGCCTCAGAAGCCAGAAACTTTATGAACTTCACAATACCTCACGCTCCCCATGTCACTGTTCCTCTCCATCCTCTTCCATTACTTCAATCTGCCTTTTCCCTCTCCTGTGCACAGCGCGTGAAGCACCCAGGACCTGCTGCAGCGGGCGGCCTCTGCGCATGGGAATTGGCGATGCGTCGCAACAGGTCCAGCACAAGGAGGTTGGGGTCGAAGCGGTCCACCATGGCCAGGTATGCCAAGGCTTTAAAACTCCCCACTGCTTCTTCACTGGGTGGGTTATGGTGGGTTGCAGAGCGGGCGTTGCACTTGGTATGCTGCGAGCTTGCAGAGAGTGGGCTAAAACAGGAGTCCACATGCACATCATCATCAAGGGCAAGACTGACTGAAATCGCCCTTGCTATGGCTGAGGCAACACATGCAAGCAGCTCAGATTGAAGGAGGTCTGGGCTTCAATCGATTGAAACCCATGCTGCCTTTACCTGAACATGGGCATGAACCTGCATTTGCAGCTTATGGCTCCTTGCAAGGCTCTTGCAGGGCTCTTGCACCGGTTCACTCTTCAAGGTTGGGCCCCCTGGCGCTTCAGCTGCTAGGGCTGCCTTGCGGATGTCCGGCGCGGTCACTGCGTCGACCTGGGAAAATTGGGCTCGAGCAGAACATGTCAGCTCAACGGACACATGGGTTCTCATCTTCTTTGCCAGACCCGACCTGGTGCTCCGATTTACTTTGCGGCGGCTTACGGAAAACAGTCCTCTCCGACTCGAGTGACCTCAACATTGGCACCACGCTATGTGCCCCGCCACTAGCGACACATGTTTCTAGATGACAGCTCTGGCACGAGTGCAAGAGTCGAGTTTTGAGGTCTCATTACACTTTACAAAATGTTGGCTCGAAACAGGCGTCTGATTGGGATTGCACTGACTACACCATCGTCTGCCCACCGACGAAAAACAACTACGTTGCGACCTTAAGCCTGGGAGCCTCAGTAGCAGTTTGCATCATCTTCTATGACTCTGTGCACACCCGTGCACATACACAGTAGTTGTCATGGGAACAGACACGACGGACAGCCATGATTGGTGAGCCCTTCAGTCTCGGGCGTAAAGAACTGCAAGCAGGTCGTGTTCTACTATTTCTATGCCGTGCTCACTCACAAAAGCTTGAGCCAGGGCATGGGCCAAAGGCTGGAGCCCGTCGGCGCTCATCAGCGACTCGGCGACGGTCTTGTGCTGCACACCTGGAGAAAGGTTTCACAGACACCAATTGGGGCTTCCCCCAAAGCATCGACATGAGATGCGATCCCCCCGCCCCACCCCCCCCCCCCGTCGCCTCCGGGAGCCATCTCCATGGACCTCTCAGTGAAGGAGGAGGAGGAGGAGGGAGCAAGAGGGAAAAGGGAGCAAAGGAGGGAGCCCCACCTCCGTGCCAGTAGTGCAAGGAGGGCGAGCGCAGGGGTGGCACCCCGGCGCAAAGGCTGCACAAGGGCGCCAGAGAGGCCTGGCAGGAGCTTGAGCATTGCGGTCACTGGTCGCATCCTGCATGGGGATGCCTTGACTGTCCAGAATCTTGACCCTAAACGTTCACCTCCAGATCTCATTGAAAACTTCTGGCAAACGGCGCCTGTTGTGATGAGTCGGATACAGGACTCGTCGTCCTGTCACGAATGATGCTCAGTCCAAGGTTACGGAGTTCTCTCCGTTCCACTTCTATTTCCACGCTCCCAGTTCCGGCGGGACCCCTGGGCTTCTATGGACCCCGTAGGATGCCCGATCCCCTAAAACCCCCTATGGTTCTTACAGAGCCCTTAGAGAACGTGCGTTTTGCTGGGGTGTTAGCTTGGGCGAAGTTTTGCTCCACATCGAGTTGGCACAAGTAGTAAGTAAACAGGCATGGGCTGATCTCCTTGCCACGGCATGGAGGACATCTGGGCACACTGCGACCATTGGTCACGGGGGGTCCCCACCTACTCGATGGGGAGAGGTGGTCGAACAAGAGCAGCGCTTCTTACAGCATGCAGCATGCAGTGTCCTCAGCTCTTTCCGTAGCTTCAGCCATTGCAGTGAAGTCACTTTCCCTGCCGAGGGGCAGCACGACACGATTAGAAGATTGAAATAGAGCACAACGAGGGTCCCTTGCACACCTCTGCTTGGCCCCAAGGATCTGATGCAAGGCTTCGACTACAGGGATGCCCTACGGCAAGGTTATACAACTGTGCATCCATTAAATACTGCAGCTTCAATGCAACTTGCTTGTTTACCTTGCTCACTCCTCACCCTCAATGATCAGCCTGATTCGCTTCAGGATTGCCCGCGACTCCTTCGATTGGAGAGGCTCAATTTCAAACTAGAGGAGGAATATGTGGAATGTGGACAGCACCTGCATGCTCTGGCAAATGGTCTTGCATCAGTTGTCGAGGCTTGTTTGCAAAGGGAAAGTTGCACAGCGCACTGACCAAAGTTCTGGCGGCTTGAAGTACTGCTTGCAGATGTTCAAGAGTTTTGGGGAAATATTTGGAACTTTAGCAGTGGCTCTGATGCCTTGAGCCCTGTTGCGCAGCTTGCCCCTCCGCGCCCTGCGCATCAACCTAGCTTCTCGAAACGCTTTCGGCTGCTCCTCCGCTGACAGAGGTGGGATCTTTGCCACCTGGGCGTAAAGAGAACTGGAGCATGCGCGCAAGTGACCACAACTGGGGCGTGGAACAGCCCAAGGCAAGTCTAGCATGTCTGCAGAACATGGCGTCATGTCGCCCGCCTCATGTGCTTCCTGTTTCGGCGGGCTCGTTGTAGCCTCTGGCAAATGCTCTGCCGGTGGCGGCAAGGGCGGCGGCGGTGCCTAGGAAAGCGGTCCCTGAAACGCCCCCCTAAAACGTTCCACAAATGAAACAGGCATCTCATTGCCCGATGTCCTTTCTACGGCCACATATGCTCCTATACTTACTATACTTGTCTCATCAAGTCTCTGCACTGCGGCAACAGAAAACTTGCGAGCGCCTCCTGATCTCCAGGAGTGTCAGGAGCGCGTCCGCTCGGGAAGTCTTCGGAGTCTTTCTCTTCTTCCCTGAACACCTGGAACCCATGGAATTCACAAGCTTCAGCGAAGTCTAGACCTTCCACTCAGGCTTGCATACGACTTCTCTAAGAGATTCCAAGAGTCTTGGCTCTGTTGTACCATGCTGTACCTCAAACTGTCAAAACTTGGATTCTCCCGGTACTTCTCTCGGTTCCTCATATCGCTCCCAGCCTCTGCGATTTGTGCATCTTTGGCGGGCATTTCTTCTGAGGCCTGTGCCAAGTGCAAGTGCAGCTCTGGTCCCTGTCTTGGACTATAGTTTGGGATCCATGTCACAGCCACAGGCATCACCCACCCATGCACATGCCCTCCACGGGTCTTGCAAGCTGTGTCTTGCAAAGCTGTCGGAGAAGGGAACTCGTCTCGATGCACCCAAAATGCAGCAAGACCTGCTCATGATCCCCCCTTGTACAGCGGTCTCTGAAAGCCAGGCCTTCGCCACTGTGCCTGAGGTGGCTGATGCGCCCGTGCCAGAGATCGGAGATTTCCCTGTCTTCAAGCCGACTACTGATGGACTACTGGCTTGGTAAATAGTTGGCATCAAATGATGTAGAGGCGAGTGGCAAGGGGCAGAACAGTTGAGTTCTTGCCGCTGTGCTCCCGTATCCTACGAGCCCTGTGACCCCACCTGGCTCCGGAGCTGTCACGCGCCAGGAACGAAGGCCCATACGCTGCGCCTGGCTTCTGTAATGATTGTCCGTTGTGCACACTCTCCAACAGTCTTAGAACCATTGGGTGACGCCTTGCGGCTCGCACATAGGCAACACACAAATGAAATCTTCTAGGCCCTTGTAGTGTAAGCATACCAACCCACTGGCCATGGTCGGATGTGACGAACTCCGCCCAGGAACCCTTGTAGCGTCAGGTCACAAGAAGATGGCCAGCGGCCCTGAAAGCAGCTGCGTGACGTGTGAAAACTCGTCAGCATTTTTAATTTGACAGACCTTTGATGTTCTTGCATTTATTAACATTCCAGTCTTCGCGGGTGCACTGCTTTTACATTAGGCTGGCCGTTAAACCAGCAGCGTGCTCGGACTTACTTCTGCCTACAGCTACCTTCTGCACGAAGCATGTGGATTCCAGCATCCCTGATCGGCCCCTTGTGTTCCAGCTTGCCTAGCATAGACCGCAGTCTGCAGCCAGCACCAGTCGCAAGAATCACAAGAAACGCAAGAACTATGAAAAACTCAAGATTGACGCGCGCTGCTATGCATCCCATTGAGCCCAACAACTGCAGAGCCGGCCACCGAAAAAATCTGCCTAGATTCCACATAAAGCCCCGAGGTGTATTCTGAGTCGGGCCGACCTTCGGAAAGCGCAGCTTCGCCAAGTGCTCGGCCAAGCCCTGGCGTACTCTGAACGATGCTACATCTTCGAAACGTTTCTAACCGCTTCCTGAACTGTAACAGAGCCATTTGAACTGCTCGATTAGCGAAAGTACGGCAACCCCGTCTGCAGAATGCAGAAGTCATTTGCACTAGTCGACAGTGCCTGCAGCTGCCTCAACTTGAAATCGGACAAAGGCCACCGCAGAACCGAGCGTGGGGCCTGCACTTCGGCCGACAAGACGGTCGCCTGGCATGCAAGTACAGCATAAGGATATGCATGAGGTGTACTTGACTGGCATTGGGAACTCTCCTCCCGAGCTTCCTCCGGCACCAAAGCTTCGGCCTGAGCGGCGGGACGGGTGTTACTAGTTACTGCTGCTATTCTCTGCGTTAGTCAAAGTTCTGATGTTGTGCGGTGGCACTTTGCCAGCTCTTCTAATGATCTTGCTGCGACGTAGGGTTTACAATGGAGGGTTTCCCTCTACAAAAAGCATGCGCCCCGAGTGCAATGTCGGATCTCGCTCCTTCTGGCGGCCAGCTTCCAAGGACCAATCAAGGGGGGGAAAAGGGCGCCAGGAGAAGAGGCCTGCACGCCTCTGGAAAAAGAACTCAACTAATGTTGCACCCGGTTTAGTGCTGTTACCGGCTACTAAGCGAGGAACGGAAAAATTGTTCGGGATACCGGGATAAACCCTATTGAAGGTGGTTACCCGCAATTACGCGAAGTTCGTGGCCCGGTGATCCTGCTTTGGGGAAGAAAAGATTGTGTTCTTTAAAAGGCGAAACTGAGGGATTGTTTCTTTGGTCTCGGCTGAGGCAGAAGTCGTCAGGTCTGTGCCCTTATTATAGAGGGGGAGCAAAGCCCCGAAATTGTTTGGGGGCCCTAGATCTTAAGGCGAGTGCAACATGACAGCCAAGAACATCAATAACAATCGCAGTACGGGTGGCAGGCAAATCAGTCAAGCAGAACTCAGCAAACATGAGGGCAAGTCAGAAAACAAGACAGGGCAAATCAGAAAAAAAACAGGGCACGAATCAGAAAACAAAGTCACCAACAGTGGGCGCAATGCATCGTTTTTATGTGCCTTCTGCATCGGTGCAGAGTTCCGTAACCTAACTAACCTAACGGAACCTACCCTACTCTAATCTGCAATGCAAGAGGCCTATCTGATAGGGGTCTATCGTAATCAGGATAGACCCCTACCCCCGGCCCCCTACTCCTAGGCGATAGACCCCTATCCCCAGCGGTCTGTCTGGTGCGGATAGGTACCTATGCACGGTTTATAGCCTAGACATAGACACCCATCCGCTATCCTTAAAAGATTCTTACAGCCAGAGACTGAGGGCGATGCAAACAATTAATTTGTCATTTTTTGTGGTTCTGGCCGACCCCTTCCGTCCCATCCTCCCCTCTTGCTTCCCCACCAAAACGACCCAAAAACAATACAAAAATGCAAATATGACAATAGAAACGACAAACAAATGACAAAAAATGATGATTAACTAATGTCAACACTCCAGCAAAAGTGCTCCGCCTCACCCCTTAATTCCCCACGAAAACGCCCAAAAACACCCAAAAAAAACAAATATTAAAAAAAAAAACAAGTAAATGACAACACTCCAGCAAAGTGCTCCGCCCCCCTTCCGTCCCATCCTCACCCCTTGCTTCCCCACCAAAACGACCCAAAAACGACTAAAAAACAACAAACAAGTCACAAATGAATGACAACAGTCCAGCAAAAGTGCTCCGCCCCGTTTCCGTCCCACCCTCTCCCCTTGCTTCCCTACCAAAATGCTCAAAAACGACCAAAAACAGCAAAAAAAAATGACAAATCATGCAACACTCCAGCAAAAGTGCTCGGTCTCCCATTCCGCACCACCCTCCCCCCCCCTTTGCTTCCCCCACCAAAACAACCCACAAACGACAAAAAAAATAAACAAATGTCATAAACATGATACTCCGGAACGCAGGCGGAATGACAAAAAACCCTTTAAAATATTTATTCCCTGGAATCCCAGTGCGTGGCTGGGTAAGATTCTCTTAACCCTATCCCTTGCCGATAGGGGCCTATCGGTCTCTTCCTTAGTCGCCTCACAACTGTACCCTAAACCCTGAGTCCCTAAACCCTACACCCGAAACGCTAAACCAAAAACCCGAAACCCTACACCCTAAACCCTAAACCCTAAGATGTTCAAGGCTGGAAAGCTCGAATCTGAGGGTAGCAGGCTTTCATGATATTGTTCTTGGGTTGAGTCGTTACTGCAGGTCTTAAAAACCCTAAACCCTAAACCCTAAACCCTAAACTCCCAAGCAAAAACCCCTAAACCCTAAACCCTAAAATACGCTGAGCCCTAAACCCTAAAAAACCCTAAGCCTAAGCCCCAAGAAACCCTAATCCTAAAAAACCATAAACCTAAACCCACCCCTAAACCTAAAAACCCTAACCCCTAAAAACCCCTAAGCCCTAAACCCCTCAAAAATCCTAAACCCTAAAAACCCTAAACCCTCAAAACCCCTGAACCCTAAACCCTAAAAACCTTGGCCCTAAACCCTTAACCCTAAAAACCCTAAGCCCGACACCCGAACAACCCTTAAACCATAAAAGCCCTAAGCCCTACACCCCAAGAACCCCTGAGCCCTAAACCCAAAAAACCCTAAACCCTAAAAACCCCTCAACTTCAAACCCCGAAAACTCTAAACCCTAAAAACCCCTAAGCCCTAAACCCTAATAAATCCAAAAAAACCTAAACCCTAAACCCTAAACCCTAAACCCTAAACCCTAAACCCTAAACCCTAAACCCTAAACCCTAAACCTAAACCCTAAACCCTAAACCCTAAACCCTAAACCCTAAACCCTAAACCCTGCCCCTAAACATAGGCATGTTTTTTTTCAAACCCATCACGCGAGCATTGTGTTTGCAGATGCCGCCCCCCCCCCCCCCCCCCCGCTCGATTCTTTTTCGAACCCATCATGCAAGTGTTGTGTTTGCAAAAAGGAGGGGGGGGGGGTGGGGCGAAAAATCCCTAAACCCTAAACCCCAAAAACCCCCTAAAACCTAGCAACCCTAAGCCCTAATAACCCCTAAACCCTAAAAAACCGAAACCCTAAACCCCAAAAGCCCCTAAACTCTAAATCCTTAACCCTAAAACCCCTAAAGTCTAACAAAACCCTGAGGCCTAAACCAAGAAACCTAAACCCTAAAAACCCCTAAACTTTAAACCCCCAAAAACCCTACAAAAACCCTAAACCCTAAGCCCTAAAAACCCTAAGCCCTAAATCCTGAAAACCCCCTAAAGCCTCAAGCCCTCAACCCAAAACAAACCTGAGCCCTAAAGCGAAAAAAACCGAAACCCTAAAACCCCCTAAGCACTCAACCCTAAACACCCCAAGACCTACACCCCAAAAAGCCCTAAACCCTAAACCCTGAAAACCCCTAAGCCCTAAACCCTAAAGGCCCCTTCTTTAAATGAAGCAAACCTTGCTGCTCGAGCGCCAGTGATAAATTTGTTACCGTAGGGGTCTGTATAGGGGTCTATCGACGCCTGTCATAGGGGTGTACTTAGTAGACCTATCTTCAGTAAATGCGTTTTGGGAGAGATTCCTAAACCTAAACCCTACAAGCACACCCTTAAACCCTATCATGTTAGCTTAGGTTCGGTTAGGTTTAGGTTTAGGTTTAGATTTAGGTTTAGGTTTAGGTTTGGGTTTAGGCTTAGGCTTAGGTTTAGGTTTAGGTTTAGGTTAGGTTAGGGGCCTGGCCTTTTGCGTTGCAGATTAGGTTAGGGTAGGTTCCGTTAGGTTAGGTTGGGTTAGTCTAGGTGTGGTTAGGTTTTCTTGGGTTGGGGTTGGGTTCTTCTGTCCTTGGTTGGGGTTGGGCTCTTCTGTCCTTGCTCGCCCACTCCAGGCTACGGCGATGGCCCGCCAGGATGTATGATTTATCGCGAGTTTTGGAGAAGAGAGACCGATGACAATGCACGGCTGTCCATGGATGCTGAGTCGCCTTGGCTGTTTGCTGATTCTGCCCTTGCCGTTTTCTGAACCATGGCTGTGTGATTCGAGGTCTTGTTTTCTGATTGGGCAACATCCATCGCAATACAGAAGTTCTGGTACCATGCTCGATCCTTCACCGGCGTAGCAATATTGTCAGAGTAACAACACAACCACGTACCTCCCACAGCCCGTTAGAGACATTCGACAGAGCACGGTCAGCAATGACTCAGGATCAGGCTAGAAGGATTTGCTCCATGTTCCTTGGTTCGTGTTCGACATTCCGGACTCGACAGGATGCGTCAAGTGCATCGAAGACCGAAGTTGGCTGGACAAACGGAAAGCATCTTCCATGCCTTCCTTATGCCTTCTTAAACCGAGCGTCTCAGGTCGCGGGCTATAGTCCACCCAAGTGCCATCTTCTGCGGCATTCCACCAGTACCTCCGAAGAGCCGCCGAAAGCTCGATTCCCAGATATTCCCAGACATGGCTTGCCGGCGCACCTCTCTGCCAGAAAGGCTGCCCCCGTCACATCATCCAGGAGGTCGTAAATGGCCCACCCTGACAAGTTCAAGCATCGATTTTTGCTATGACTTGATCAGCAGGTGATGGCCTTCCACAACGGTCAGGCGTTTTCCTGCCCTCGCAGCAGCCGCCTGGCAAGCGCACGCAAGCGCAACTATAGGCGGCAAGCATGCTCGAAACAAAGTTCAAAAGCAGAGCTCCATCTGCCTCTGCATTGTGTCGGCTCTGGAGCGGCAATACCTCTAAGCCATCGGCCCATGAGAGATGCTCCTGAGAAGCTGCTGAATGTCCAGGGGTTCTTGGAGCAAAGATTCGCAGCAAGAGCTTACGTGAAGCTGCACTCCAGATGCGCATGCCGCACCATTTTGCGCGACTGCCCTAACGCAGCAGAAATTTCGACAGCCGCCTCTTCTGGCAGCGGGACCACGCTAACCTGATGTCGCATGAAGGGGGCATCGAGCCCGAACAGTCTCCCCGTTTAACTGGAATCATAAACATCATCACTATGCAAAGCTGCGAAAGACACAGTCATGTCCGTACTGATCTCAAGACTATGTCGGCGCACTGGTGCCGGCTATGGACGTCCGTCAACGCACCCCGATTTCGAAAGAAAGCAGAAGCCTCACTGGGGGTTATCAGCGGTTGGCGACAGCGATGCATGTACACAGTAGGTTCAATGTTCCATTACGTGGCCACAGAACTGCAGGAAGCTTGCCGTGCAACACAAAACCACGGCGATCCACCACCTTGCACACCCCCCCCAAATCCTCCGTGAAACCATGAGACGAGAAGGAGCCGATGTGAAATTGCCGAAGAAGAACATGCTACCCCCAAAGCCATCCAAAGCCCATTCTCGGCCGGCCACGCGCTTCGACGCGCAGGGCCCACGGCGCCGAAGCAGCGACCGCAGCGCGTCGCTCTCCGCGTAGACGTCGGGCCTCGAAACTTGGCATCCAAGCTGTCTCTATGGGCAGGACAAAGAACACCAAAGAAACAAGCGCAGAACAATGTCCAGACGTGGGTGTGGGTGTCAAAGGTGTGACGTTTGCCGAGCGCGCGGCCAGTCACGCGGAAAAGTGTGAGGACCCACTTCCAGAATGTCGTCTTCCTGCAAACCCTCATGCGAGAGCATATGTGTTTAGTGCTGCAAGCTGCTACAATCGAGCATATCAGCTTTACGAAGGCAGGCATCTTGTGTCGTTGCCCCTGCAAAAGCAGACGTCCTCGTGGTCTTGGCCACCAAAGACAAAGTCTGAGCCTCAGCAAAATGCATGGAACTAATGCTCCAAGTTTCTGACCACAGCCAGGCACTGCGCCATCCAGCCAGTAGCCCACGGTCTGGCCAACCACGGCCGGACTGCAACGAGGACTGCACTGCCATTTTTCACAAGAACACAGCGGCACACAACTAGCGCCTTCCATCTTCTTGGAGAAGGGCCATTGAAGCTGTGACCAAGTCCCGTGCACTAATGTTGCTGCTGCTGCTGGATGCTACTGAAGCTCCCTGAGGGTCTGAAGCCTCTGAGTCTGAGAGGAGGGAGCGAACGATCGGGCTCGCAAGAATGTTCTCTATGCCATCCACAAACCTCGTGTCCGAATTGTACACAACAAAAGGGGTGGGTTCAATCGCCTTGCTTGAGATCACAAGGTGCGAGACACGAACAGACTGCATCGGTGGAACAGTCCCATCTTAGTCTTAGAACGCAGAAGCTCAAAGATCTCTGTCAAGCGCTGCGAGGTTCCATCTACCTGTCAGGCCAAGGCCATCCACAGCTTTCACCAAGGAGGCGCATGCTCAATGAACACACGGTCGCTCAGTGAAGACACGATCGCTATCGCGAACAGACCTCTCGAAAGAACACTTGTTTTGTGATGTGCCTTTCAGAGGACATGGTACGCTCTGTTCTTGCAACACAGCTTTGTGCATCGGGACGGAATCGAAGGTTCAGGCTTATCATAATTTCACCTTATGAGGGGGGTACATGCAGTGCTGCCTCCTTGTGCCTAAAGCGCGTGTGGGCTAGGAAAAGGTAGCACCTCAAATTACGGCACTTCGTACATGATACGTATCTGAACTGGAACATGTTGAGGTAGTGGCAGTGTTCTCTTAAGGCCTACATCAGCTTAGTCTGCTGTGCCTGCCAGATGGGGATTGTCAGCTGCCCTTTTCGGGCATGGCATCTGTGAGATGCTATCAGCCACGGCAAAATCTGCTTGGATCGGCCCAACCATATGATGCCCAATGCGTATACCATCTGCACTGTGTAGCTGTGGGTTTTTCTGAGTTTCCGGTCAGCTCTCGCCTGGCCAAGCTATGAAACTCAATGCACTCAGTGCATCGGCCCTTACCGGCCTTACCGGTCTCAGCCGCGGCGGCCTCCACCACCTCCGCCTCCTCCGCCACCACCGCCACCGGCACCACCACCCTTGCCCTGGACAAGTGCGAAAGCAGCAAGAGGATGCAAGAGTTCGCTGCGAACATGAGCCGACGTCAATGGAATGGAGAGCTGTCAAACCAACGCACCAGCCCTGCAAACAACTTCAGACACACTTACCCAGATCAAGCTTCGGAACCTGGACATCAGATGCTTGTGGGGCCTTGCCACCCTGGCCGTCATCGCCCATGCTGGACATCAACAGGACTGCCTTAACGTCGCACCAGCAGTTCGTTATGGATGTACTACAAGGAGAAGGCAAACGCATCGGACCTTGTCTTTTCCATGACTGTCAGCTGCATCTGTGACGCGCTGTGACTGCATCCAGGTGCCAGGCGATCGCAATGACCCACCAGTACCTGAAAATGCTGATCACTGACCAGCAGTATGGACTTGAGGGCTCGTGTGCAAATCGGCATCGGCACCAGCGCTTTGAAACGAAGACTACGAGAAGTGGTTCCAGGGTACTCATCGGTAGCCATCAACACTACTTGCAGCGGCCGCATGCCAGGAAAGGTGGACCCGAGCCCCATATGTGCAGGCCGCACTTGCGCAGGAACGAGGGCTGCTGCTGCTCTCCACCGCCGGGCTTGATGTTGCCATCGCCATCCCTGCCAGGGTCCACAAAATCGACTCGGAAACAATAAGGACCAAAGACGCCTGGAATCTCTGGCCCAAAGCCAATTTAAGCAGAGAAATTGCCATTTCTTCGCCTCACGGGTGGCGGAACACGTGGTCCCTCCAAGCGGCTGGGCTCGGAGAGGTGCACCTCAGAAAGCAACTGAATGGAGAGCGATCCGCATTGTAAAAAGCATCCGGACAGCTACTCCTCCTACGCCTGCTACTTCTAATGCTTCGATGCTGCTTCGAATACTCCTGAAACGTGTGCATACTTCCTTAAGCTGCAGATCCCACCTGGGTGTGGTCGAAGAGCATCAAGCCCAGGGTGTGCCGTACTCTGTACGACAAGCCTTGCAAAAGAGATGATTCCAAATGTCAGAGAAGTCACGAACGAAGTGAAGCACAACTTGCGGCATTGTGCGACTCTTGTCCGCACCTACTGGAATGCCGGCGTCGCTCACAGAGACCTCCAAAGATCAGAAGCGTCAAGAGCACAGCAGTGCTTAGCAGCGCGGCCATGGGATCTGAGCACAGCCTCCAGGATATCATGCCAATCCTCGAAGTGGTCTGCTAGCAGCTTCGCAGGAATGGAGGCCTACCGGGCAGGCCAAGCTTTGTGAGAGCACTGCAGGCTGAAGAGCTTGGGTCGTCAGAAAACAGCGACAGGCAAGCAATGGCAAGCAGATTTAACATGAGGCAACTAAACGCAGCCTGCAGGACTCTCTTGGGATTTTCTGGATTGTACCTTCCAAGTTCCACAAGTTCCAGGAGCGGAAGCGATCCAAAGAGGCTCAGAAAACAAAAGTCCAGCTTTGTGCAGTTCAAGGCACATGCGAATGGCATAGTACTGGTGATCCTTCGCTGCCTGCCATTCAGCCAGCTTCCGAGACGTTTTGGCCCATGTGGCCCTGCACCATGAAAAATTGGAGCGCTGCACTCGCGATCTTGCCTCGGAGATCAGCTGCTGAAGCTGTTCTGTTTTCAGCTGCTTGAACTCCTTGCAGGCCATCGATGTTGCTATACTACCGCCCAGACTGAATACACCTCGCACCACGACGAGCCCTCGGACTTCAGGCGTTGAAGCCAAACCCGGTCGACCCTCAACTGTTGTTGAAATCACCGAACCTTCACTCAGCGAGCCCCATCTTACAGATGTCCATTGTTACGACATAGCTGTGTAGCGAACACCCCAAACAGGACCCCGCCTTGGCATCGCTGAGTCGCGCTTCGTAGCCGGCACCGTGGCCGGAGAGCATGATGGTGCCGCGCTGGACGTGAAAAAAAAAAGTTTGTTTCTACCAGAGGCCCGGGTGCGATGCAAAGATGCCAACTCATTGCCATGGTGTACCACATGCTACCACATGCTATGCCGCATGATCCCACTCGTTGACTAAGAAGCTTGGCACGCATCCCAAAGGCACATCGGGCTCGGGGGCCCCTAAGGGCCCTGCCGGCATCCACTTGATGGAGTTGGTAAGGAACCCGTGCTCCATCACCTCAGCTACCGTCAGCTACCCATCTCCAGCTCCGGGCTCAAACGATGGCAAACAGGAGGTTTGGAATTCCATCTTTTTCCCCATCACACATGTGTCTCATTTTGAGGATTCCGGCTCTGCTTCATCACGCTGTTTCTGACTCCCGTCTTTAAGTTGGGGTCTTGTTGTGTTGAAGATTGCCCCCCCCCCGCACACACAAATTGTTGTCTCGTTTGAGGGTCGCCCGCTCTTTACCCTCCGCATCTCCTTGTTTCGGACCACCCGAGTACCGTCACCGCCGCACTTGACTCGAATGTCTTCTTACTGTCGGGGAATCCCAAGCCGGCGTTTCAGCCGTGAAAGTGGACGAGATACAGGCTCTGGGGGGATGGTTGCAGGCTCTGCGTTGCGTTTCACCTGATACAACGCTTCGACAACTCAGCTTAGGGCTGTGAGGCACGTCTGCTGATGCCTCTGCTAACGCCTCTGCTAGCGCCTCTGCTAGCGCCTCTTCTCAATCCCTAGGCCGGGTAGGCCATTCGCCCGTCGTCGTTTGAGTCTCGCACATAGACCGAAGAGGGCGTCTCAGCCAGGCCGATGTCATCGCTGCCTGAGGCAGTGCGGCAAAACAGCCTTAACAAAACGATTTCCAACAAGAATCCCGCATGTCACAGAGCAAGCCGAGCAAAAGCGCCTGTCACGGAGTCCTCGGAGTTCGCTACGGCCTCGCTGTAGGCCTAACGCCGCATGTCAGGGCTGATGGCTACCTGTACCGGAACGCAGCGGAAGCGCACAAGTTTCTTGCGCAAGCATGACCGGTGAGACCTGTACAAGCCATTTGTTGTCGTAGATGTTAAGAGATGGGACTTCTCTTGGCAAGTCGCTACAGTAACATGTCAGACCGCGCCACCTGTTGCTCTCGATCTCGGTCAAACGACAAGCCATTAAAGCTCGAGCCGTCCCAGCAAGTACAGAATCAGCTTGTCAGCAGATACGGCCACCTCCCTCAGGAGCCTGCAGCACCGCCGAATACCGCTTACACACTGCTTGACAAAGTCCACAGATTCAGTTGGGCTTCCTGCAGTAGTTACTTATACGTGTACCATCACTCTCGATTACGAGTCACCTTCATGTTTATTCGAGTTACCGCGCCTTGGTAAAGTAAAAGTCGAGCTCTGCGCCTGCAAGCTTTTCTTCTTTCCTAGAGACTTCAAGTTCCGGTTATGACTTATGCTTAGTCATGACACCGAGCAATCAGCGGCTGCAGACGCCCATCCACACCCCTGCTGAAGTGTTTCAAAGTCCCCATAATGGCCGGCATTCCCCTGCCTCGAGGCAGCTTGCAGCCAGCACTGCTCCAGGGATGTCCAGACGATGCTGCAGCAGTGAGCTCAGCTCGATGCACAGCTCTCTCTTCACATCTCGAAACTTTGACCGCAGATCTGCGACAAACGTGACAACGAACTAGCAGTCATCCGCCGAAGCTTTAGCCCCACAGACATTATCATCAGGGGTGGCCCCAGGAACCTTCCGCAGCAAACCCAGGGACCCCTCAGGAACTTTTGGGGACCTGCGTACGGACCGGCGATGTGCTCGGAGGGGCTTGGGAAAGCGCTTGGGGTCTCAGAAGGGAAAAAACATGCACATGGCTCTGCACCTCCTTTGTGGGTGGAAAGCCGGGTTTCTTTGAGGAAGGGCTGTGGGCAGCCCACCGCGCAGTCCTTTACGCGGGAAGCTCGGGATCCTGAAAAGTCAAGGCAAGGCTAGCTGCTCCGCCTCAGCCCAGCAGCCGTGGGCCTCGGGACCCCTCGGGACCCCTGATGACCCCTGCTTCCCCCCCCAATCTTTCGTTTTGAAAGCTTTCGAATCTGGGTCTCCTTGCCATGCTTGGCATGGAGAACATCAAGTTTGTTGACCTGGGCAGCCCACGGCCCCACCCCTTTGCTGTCAAGCTGTGCCGAGGCGGTCGATGCGCAGCATATTTACAACTAGCTCTGCCTTGCTTGGCATATACAATTTGCGACATCCAACTGCAGCGAACTGCATTCCCAACCTTCTCAGCACGCCCACAGTGCGTAAGCAGCGCAACCACCTGACCAAAGGCAGGTTTGGATGAGGCCTCGTGGCTTTGCGCGCTTCTGCGAAGCGGCGAAGCTCGACGAGGTCCACGGGCCTGGCGCCAGCGGCCCGCCTGCCATGCTGCCGCAGCAGCTGCAGCGCGGGCAACTGGACCAGCCGGCAGCGCCCTTTAAGCAAAGATTCGACATGAAACGCCCGTGCACACGAGTGCGAATGAACGATGAGTCGATAAGGTGAGTTGTGCGAGCAAAGGGGAGTTTTAAAGGTTGCTCCGCAGGCGTCAGGAAATTGAACGTCAGGCTGGTTGCAGACCTCCAGCTGCCAGCCGACAGTAGCCTGAGACCAGTGAGCCAGGCACCAGCCGCCACACAGGATGCCGTCGCAGCACCTTCTTCTTTGTAACATCGAAGCTTGAACAAACGTTAGCACACATGGTGCTTAACTTTACGCATTTCTATGTGGGTCCATGCTTTGTTGACGGGTCCTCAAAAACAGCGCCAAGGTGCCGATGGTGCGAGTATTGGCCTCCGGCCCAAGGAAATGGAGGAGGCGAGTGGCCATCTGCCAGGCGCCAAAAGGCTCGCAGGCACCTTCGCAAACTTTTGCCGAGTGGGCATAGCCTAGCTGCATAGACAATGACCCCCAGAGCAGCCCCGGCGCAGAGAAGCTGCCTTTTGCTAACCAGGACACTGGCTGCAGCATTCGCAAGGGCGGCATCGGTCTGTACCAAAGCACCACGTGCTGCGTGGAGGAGTGCGAAAGCTGTGGCCTCTGAGGTTTCTGCCAACGACGCAACTGTCTTCTACACGACTTACACATTGAAACCTGAACATGACTCGACAAACTGTGCTAAAGTTGTCTACAGCATGCCCCAGCGGCCCAAGTGCATCCGGCCAGCACGGCGCCATAGATGGTGGCGCTCAGCACAAAGCCTTTGACGCGTGCACACGCAAGTTTGTCCGGCTTATTCCGAGGCCTCCGATCACGCGCTGCCTCGCCGCCCAGCTTCCGTCAACAGCTCCTGGGCCAAGGCCACGCGGCCTCTCACAGATCTCACAGCAACTTGGCGCTCTTCACTCCAACAACTCCGGCTCGCAGGTCTACACAAGGAGGGTGCATACAAAGGGAATCCCCCACAAAAAAACTTCTGCAGGCTGCTTCCATTTTGGACTCCGTCTTGGGCAGGGGATTGGGAGGGGACCCGCCCACTGGCAGGAGCCGCAGCTGCAGCTTTCCTCCCAGTTGTTGTCCTCTGTTGCTTGTTTTTTTTTGTTGCAGCTGTCAGGGTGCTCGTAGCCGATGCGCTTGACACCGGCCGAAAAATCACGATGTGCCTTGCACGCCGACGGCACACCCGTCTTTACTGGAGCCCGCAAGACGTGGGGACAATTTTGCTCCGGCCTGAAGCTTCATCTACATAGTTTCTTTGCTCGGGCGGCATTGGAGCAAAACCCTCCAACCACACATGAGAGCTGGCCAGAGGCAGCCGGCCTGCTCGTTTGCAGGAGCTTGTCACGGTGCCAAAGGAGGTGACATCGGGCGCGAGGCGGAGATCACAAAAAGCGCGGAGCAGCGACAGGGACGAGCCTCAGCACCCCTTTAGAAGGCAACAAGTAACCGAAGCTCCGCTCTTGTCATCTCTCCTGGTCTTTCCTGATCTTGTGTGCCTTGGACTCCAACCCCAGTGTCGACCCTGGCCAAGGGCCGCCAGCGCCACGTTGGTGCCAACGACATCGCGGCCTGCAGCATCGTGCCGTGACCTGCAGCTTGGTTCGGGCTGGGTATATTCGGGCATGTTCAGGCGCTTCAGCCCCTCCCACAAGCCCAAGGAACTACTGGAAGCCTCTCCAGCAAGTGCAGCGACCATCCTTGGCCAGGGCAGGCCTAACAGACAAGAAACTGGCCACGGCCTGTCCCAATTGTCGCCCCAAGTTTCTAATGGGAAGCAACGAAACGAACAGCCTCGACGCAACTGCAAGCACGGCAACATTGAAAAATTCCTGGAAAACAGACTGAGAACAGAGGGTGGGCGAAAACAGCCCCACTACTCAATCAAAACCAATTCACATCAGCCATTCAGAGGTTATCAGATGAGTTCCAGTGTCTACTCAATTGGAGTGACGAGCTCCAGCCAAGGCTCGCCAGCCCACACCCTGCGCAGCTGCGCTCGCAGCGCTGTTGACACCTGGCTGAAGCGACAGTGCACTATGCTCCAACAGACAGTATTCAGTGTTGGTCATCCGCACCATGTGACCTCTCACATCTGCCCGTAGGCGCGCTTGCCGAAGATCTCCAAGTAGAGCCGAGGCCGCCGGCCACCTGAGCTGGGACAGCAGATATAAGTCACGACCACTCCACAAACCCAGCAACATCATACGAAGCAGAGGCGCAGTTCACCTGCTTCCATGGCAGTGAGCGCAGCGTTGGCCAACCGAACTGTCAAGGTCTCCGTGTGCCGAAGGAACACGTTCAAAGCTCCTGTCACAGGTTGTGACAGCCCCAAATTGGACCTTTTGAGGCTTCCAGAAAAATATTAGGTCAGAGACTCAATCCTTGGACTGCCGTGTTTAATCGAAGCTCTCCTTGCCACTTCTCCCCCCTGCTCAGCGAAGCCACCAGCGAACTAACTGCCGGTGGGTCCAGCACAATGCCTCTCTCCGCCTCGAATAAACACCAAGTGCACTGGAAAAGCCGTGAATCTGAAATCGCTGGGGGCCTGAAGCAGCGCCACAGCCACGCCCCAGCTCCCCAAAACCTCGGAAGCAGCAGCGGCCGCGGTGCTGAGGTGAACAGCGTTGGCCCGGACCGACTGGTCCTCGCATACTCGGAGGATCTTTTCAAGCTGTGGTGTAGCTTCACAGCGATAACTTTCCAAAAGCCTTCAAGCCGGCTACCAGCGTCAGCGCCGACGTCCACGTACCTCGTCAACGACGCAAAAACGTTCGGTTGAGATCATCCCCGCAGTCTCCCCTACACTTTCAATCCTACAAGTCATGGGCACAAATGCATACAAATGCACCAAATGCACGAAGCCCACACAAAGGCAGGTGTAACAAAACGCAGACCCTCCCATCGACGACCCGGGGGGCATCTCCAAGTACTTGGGTGTGATACTTTGAATTCACCGAAGTACCAATTCAGACACCGGTCCAACTTCACCTACCGCGCGGCCTCCCACGCGGACCGCACCCATTGCGGTGCCCCGGAGCACGGCACTCATGCCGCCGAAGCCGCGGCGCAGGCCCATGGCCAAGATCTCCTCGGCACTCGCAAAGTCTTGGAATGTCTTGGAGGCCGAAGACTCTGCTCCGCCTCTGCTAAGGCTCTGCTAAGACTCTCCTAAGACTCTGCTCTGCTGATCAACAACCTGCTGCTGCGGCCGCGTCTCGGAACCCCAGCGCCAGCCAAACGTCACCCTGCATGCTGATACAGCAGCGCCCAGTGTCCTTGAAGAAGCAAACGGAAAACCATGCTTGACATGCATTTCCTCTGAACCCATGACGAGCACGCTACAAAAGGATCGCGAGTCACTGAGCTTGGCGGAGCGTCACTACATCGACCTGAGCACTGCCGGCCCAGGCATCCTGAAGCAAAGCGATGGCAGCTGCCTTGGAAATCAGGAGAAAGGCACTCAAAGGGCCCACCTGACCGCCTTCCGGAGCTGGGGCCTCCTAGGGCTTCCTAGAGTGGAGGTCTTGATAGCGACACTTGATGACGTTATCAGCTAAAGACGGAAGATTGGGTGATTCTGCTCAGCTGAGTCCAGCTGAAGCACAGAGAGAGAGGGAGAGAGAGAACAAAAAAGGCGAGTCAGAATCAGAAATCAGGATGCGCAACCTGACTATGCAATGAAGCCGAGTAACCCATTGCTTTGCCCTGGCAATCTCCGCAACTGCCTTGCCAAGCTTGCGGCAATCGGGCGTTAGACCGCCACAGCACAGCTCCTCCTCGGTGTGTGTGTGTGTGGAAGAGACGGGTGATACGAAACTCGAGAAAGCCATGTAAAGGAGCCAGGTGGATGACAAAAACATCTACCCTCTGCGGCTCACCCTTCTACCACTCAGACTTGCAATCTCAGCCACCAAGCTGTGAAGGCTGCATGTCCACCCTGCAAGCCATGGGCCGAAAGCTCTCAAACCAAGGTTTGGCAGCTTCGGGCTCATGAGATCATCATATCGAGTGTACCAGAACTGGTCTCTGCGTATCTCTGCCAATGGAAGCGCCTGACTCGGCTCGCCCGTCGGCCATCGGCCATGGCTCCCAGGGACATGTCGCAAACACTGGGGTGTGAAATAGCTTTCTACGTAGGGCACGTTGAGTACTTAGTGATTAGTGGTTTGCAGGACTGGTCACGGGGATCTTGCAAACACGATATGCTGAAGCTCTCAAAGGCTTCTCTCGGAACAACCCTTAATCAGCATCTCATTGTAACCCACTGTAGCTCACACGTTAACACGTATTAACACGTTAACTCTCTCCAGATCAAGGTGAGATTCTGCTGGCAGCGGGATCTCAGAGGTGCCAAACTTCGTGCAGGACTCTTCGAGATAGTATGTCATGGCCACTGGTCGTGCCGCATCTGTCGGTGGTGTTGCTTCAACCGTATCTCCACATATCTCCACGCACCTCATCCTCATCCTCGATTGCGCGGCTCACTGGCAGGACCTGACGCCATGGGCGAATCTTCAACTCAAGCAGTGTATGGCCACTGCACGCCGGACAAAAAGACGGGCAGTCAGGCACACTATCTTTCAGGCTAGAAGTGAGAGCAGATGAGGGTGAGAGAAGAAAGTCAGGGCCCGGCCAGCAGAGCCGCAAGGGCTAGCAACCGGCCCGCCTGGGCGCAATCCGAACTTTCAAGAGAATGCTTTTTGCTGGTCCCTGTCTTTTGGTGGTCCAGATCAGTGAGTGTCTCTTCACTCAGACGGGAACCATGGCCGACAAAGCGCGCTCGGCGCTAAGCGGTTTGGAGCACTGTGGCAGACGGAGACAGATGCACGCATGTCCTGCCCTTACACAAAAGCCATGCCAAGCGGGAGCATGATTTGGACACATCAGGCCGTGCTGAAACCTTGGGAATTTTGCTTGTCCCCCCGATTGCCGGGACAGGAAGGATGCTGTCAAGACTCATCTCAGACGATTATTGACAGTAACGCATGCAGTAACACATTGTACTGCAGCAAGCTGTCCTCACGATAAGGGTTTGTAAGTCTGTATGATTCCAGTGTTGCACTACCCTTTTCCTTGATAAGTACGGTACTCCTCCAGCGTCGAAAGTTTCGGGCGTAGGGGTGCTGCACTTCTCCCATCAAGGCCTCAGAACGAACAAGCCCGAAAGCACGTGGATGATGTGTTGACGAGGATCAATTCTCAAGCCCACTAAGCAAGCCTCATTCCAAGAATCTACGTTTCTTTTGACTGCCCGAGAGCGCCGATGCCGCGCTGACATCGTCTTGTTCGCTCTCCATGCTTCCCTCGCTCTCCTGGTCTTCCTCCTGCGAACACAATGGCAACACAATGGCAACGCATTGCTGGACCTCTGACCTCACGGTGGCAGCCGTCCTGCTCGTATTCCTCGCTGTAGCACGACTCCTCCGACTCCTCCACACAGCAATGCAAATGAAAGCAAGAAGCAAGTCTTGCTGCGGATATCTGCAGATGCCACACCTCCTCGCGTTGAGAGCTGTCATGCTGACCGAGCAGAGCGGCAGCGTGCGCCCACCTGAACACATGCAAAGGGCAGCGGCCGAGACTCCCATCTTCACATCTCAGTGTTAACATTCAACAACCTTGCTCTGAGGTCTGTGAATGAAGCGTAACATAGCGCAACATAGCGCAACTGTGGAATACGGATGTGGAACGAGCGACATCCAGTTTTCCTTGACCGAAACCTTGCGAATGGAAACACCTTACCAAGATGTGCAGAGGCACAGGTCTGCTTTGGGCCCGGGGCCACCACCTTAGGCGCACTGCAAATACTGCGACAATGTGGGGCTAGAGGCCACCGTGAGCATCATGCTAGTTTCAGCGTTCTAGGCAACCCTGCGCCAGGCGAAGGCGCCGCGCGCACGTCCGCCAAAGTCACCAGCAGCCCGGCGGCAGAGGCGGGCCTACTTGGAGCTGCAGCGGCTATGACAGTGCAGTGTCTGTAGCACCGTAGCTGGAATGCTAACTTAGCTTGGGGGGGGGCTTTGCATCACTCTGAGCCTCAGCAGTCGCATGCACCGTCAAGTGCCACACCTCAATGAGGGAGTTTGCACACCGTAAGAGGACTAGAAGCCTGCAAAGCACGACTCAAGCGGGCTATTGGGCTGCAATCGAGGAGCACGGGGGCGTGACGTCGATCGCTCAGAGGGCATGTAGGCCACACCTACCCGCGCAACTGAGGATCCAAACTTCAATCGAATGTCAAACTCTCTCCGTTTACCGCTACTCACCATGCCACTAGTTCTAGCTTTAGAGCTTGTTTCATCGAGGCCGCCGTCGTCACAACAAGATTGAGTAGCATCGAGCCTGCTCGAGACATGCTTGGCGGCAAGTCGTGCTGCATGACAGTTTCCGTCAGCAACCTGCAATGGTAAACAACGTGTTTTGAAGAGGCTTGAGGTCTCAGATTTCGGATCCAGGCTTGCGGTTTCTCACGCTCACCAACTCCAGCTCCATGTTAAGCTGCCCTCCCTACACATGCCTCCTGCCCCCTGTGCACGGCCACAGCGTGAAGGAGGCGAGCACCTCACCGCCAACTTCAAGCCCCAGACAGCCTCTTCTACTCCAATGGGACGAGGAGAGGCAGTGGCACAGATCAGCTGTGCAAACATGCCCCAAGTGCGGTGCACACAAACCCAGCAACAGGTTGCCTCTGCTTCTCCCAATGCCGCACTCTCTGCACACAGGATTGGTGTCGCATCAGCCTGCCGGCTTGCAGAGAAGCGCTAAAGCCTTTCACAAATTCACAGCCGGTACGATTTAAAGTACCTCCGGAAAAATTATGAGTGAACAGTGAAGCATCAATCCCTTTTTATTCAAGAACCGAAAGGATAGCTGCATGAACGCACCCGGAAAAATTTGAGCTGTGTTTTTTTGGATATGGTACGTGGCTGGGCTTGATCTGCCAATGCTGTGACAGCGTGTTTGCGGCTGGCAGGTCTGTCCGGGTCTGCTCTGTGTAACTTGTGGCCTTCAGAGCACCATAGAGTGGAAAGCCGCCTGTGAAGTCCACTGTGGGGGCTCATGGACTCAAACAAGTTCTGGAAAAAGTCTTCATCCAGAAGTGGTGCAAGATCTTGAAGCGTTTTCGGGGGTGTGTTGGCAAGGCAGGCTGTGACTTCTGGCGTGTACGAACTGCTATGGCATAGGATCACCAGGTGCTTGACACTGGTCGTTTCTTTCACCTGGCAGCATGGTGTTTAGAGTTTAGAGGTCTGTGAACGCAGGCACATCTGCTGTCCCTTCTTTTCGAGCCTCAAGATACTGTAGGACTTGCCATGTGCGTTCTGCCATGCTTGCGAGAATGGTCGTGTAATCTGCGTATCCCCAGTCATTTGGGCTCAACAGCCATGGTGGGAATCGCCTGCCCATTTGGACGTGGTCAACATCGCGCATGATCATGCTCACAAGCATCGAAACAAAAATCTAAAGCCACAACCACGAACACCCGAACCACAATCCCAGGTGCATCATTTCTACATAAGCCCGTAAGCCCCCTTGCATTCTATATCACACGAGATGCTCGAGGAGAAGCTTGGCTGACTTTCAATCTGCTGGCAAGAAGAGCTGCGACGCACATCATGATAGCTTGCAAATGCTTTGCCTCGAACGCCGGCAGCGCCAGGTGTGCTTGTGGCCTGGTCTTTGGGGCTTCTTGACCTACGCCCAGCAGTAGAGGTGAGGCGCTCACGAAGCCTCGGCTGCAGCTGGAAAGCTGCGGCCGCCAAGTCGGCAGAGGCCAGAGCCTGTGGCAGTTTCTCAGAGGACTGGTGGCATGTGTTTTGGATACAAGCAGCTTCGCGTCCTGCCTCAAGGAAGGAAAGGGCATCTGCAACATCCAGACCTGCACAAACCCGTGACAGGACACCTCAGCACCATTCTCATGGCATCTCACCACATCCACAAGACTGGACAAGATCATGGACATGATCCGACTGAACACACACACACACATGCGGCGCCTGCATCGTCCGTTCCCAGAGTGAGGACTGCGACAAGGCCTAGCTCGAGCACCTCCTCAAAGGGACGCACACAATATGGCACATGAGCATGACTTCATGAAGTGCAATGAAAGTGATCACAAGATGCAACATGAGCCCCCGCAGGACATTTACTTTAAATAGAAAAAGCCTCTTCGTGCGTGCGCGTTGCCTATTACCAGCACACAAATGAAAGCGCTTTTGAAGGACCGTTGCTGAGAGAAGCCTCCCCGATGCCCGCAAGCAGTGCCAGCGGCTCCGCGATGGGCTGCCAAGCCTCGGTATCTTCCAAATAGCTACCCAGCTGCGAAACAGACCAGGCCTCTACAAATGCAACACCAATACAAACTCAAGGAAAGCCATTACCAGAAAGGCAGATTCGGTAAACATATGTAAAGATCTTTGACAGTTTGATCAGAGACTCTGAGAAAAGCCACGCAGATTTTTGGCCTCGGGCATCGCGGCTGGCGGCCAGGGAGGGAAGCAGCGCCAGCACGTGCAGAGCCTGCGGCTCCTCCGAGGCACTTCAAAGAAGGCAGTCTTATCTCAAAAGACAGGACATAGGAAAAGAACAGAGAACCTCGAAACAGCACAAAGAACCGTAATCTCACCGCTTTTCGCTGATGCGCCTGGCGCCTGCGGAGGAAAGCGACGGCGTCCGGATCGCTCAAATCCAGCAGAACCAGGGTCTGGCCACCGACGCTCACACCTCTGAGTAAACAAAGAAGAGAAAGCACAAACAGTGAGAGTGCGAGAGAGAGCGAGATAGAGAGAGAGAGAGGGAGGAAAGGCGCAGCAGCTCCCGGTGCCTGAGTCTTTCACAGAAGAAGTCAGAGCCCAAAGGTCTCCAAGCCGTTCCTGCGTCAGACGTCTCAAGGCCCCACTAGGCTGCAGTGTGGTAGAAGGGCGGTTCGGGAGCCTGATTGCTTGAAAGGCCGGGGTGCGCGAGTCTCTCGCACTGGGGTTGAGGTGTCGAATTGTGAGAGCTGCATGCTCAGTTGTTCTGCAAGGAACGTGACACAAGTTCCGAGATGCTAGAGCTGCTGATTGGCACATTGTGTTGAACGAGAGGGGGTCATGGGAGGCTTGTGGTGATTCCGCTGTTGGCTGTCCTGCTTTGCCTGAAGATCTTGGTTGCTTGCTGTTGGTGAACAAAGATGGTTGCTTCTCATCACTTAACTTACCTAAGCGAGAGACCATTGATGGATTTCTTGCACTTGTTAGACATGTTATACCACATTTCAATCCAGGGGTCATCTTTCAAGATTCAATCGCCTGTGAAGAATTTGCGCCTGTTCTGCTCAAAGGAAAGGTTGCACCATTTTGATACCATTTTTGCACCGGGCTCTATCAGGACTGCCGACGGATTCGCAAGACTGGCTGGGCCGTGCATTGTCCAGTAGGTTGCACGGGAGGCGAGAAGATCGGGCAATCGGAGGACATGCGTGGAGGCAATTCTGCAACAACACAGGTCGGGCTGTTTGCAGTCGTTGCTTGGATTCGCTATTCAGTGGACACGTCCACTTCGCAGCAATATGCGGCAGCCTGAGTTCCACAAAACGGAGGCCTACTCATTGTTCAAAGCACAAAGGGTGAGCACTTGCTTGAAAGATCTTGAAGGGGGCGCGATGACAATTTGAAGGCCTCGAATGCCTTGAAGACTTCGGGAAACGCTGAAAAAAAAACCCATTCCTACTGGGCTCCATTCCCCGGCCTCAACCAGCGCTGCCAGAGACAGGCCTCCCAAGCAGCTGCGGCCAACTCCACCCGTACAGCGAAGTTGGGCTCCAGGCTGGACCGGCCGATGGGAAGGAGCCGCATCTTCCTGCAGCTTTGTGACTTCGCTATTTCTGTCTCCAAACCCGGATTCTGCGGCTTAACTACGGACATCAGCGAGGCCTCGGGGAGAGCTGCAGCGCTGTCCGAGGAGCCTCCGTCAGAGTACACTGCGCTTGCTGTACACCTGCTCTATATAACTGTTTTTCTTCGAACATCCCCACCCGGCGACTAACAACTCGATGGACAGTGTAGGATCGACTGGGACTGGGCACTAGGACTGGGCACTAGGACTGGGCACTGGGACATGGCGGTCTGGATATCTCGGGGTCGGAACTCCAGGATTCTCCATGGACGTGCCCTTGCAGCAAGTTGTTTGTTTGCGTGTTGTATCGTGTTGTTTGCTGCCTTCGGCAAGTTGCAGACTGCAGTGCATCGCTAGATTGCTGGCTGCTAGCGCTTGACTTGCTTCTTGACTGTGGCAAGTATGTGGCCTCGCCTCTAAGGCCGCAAGGCTGCAAGGTTCATCTTGGGGTAGCCTCGTGCTAGTAAGTCTTGCTTCGACGCTCTTGACATTCTTGACCTTCTTGACCTTCTTGCTCCTCTTGACCAGAGAACAGAGGGTCAAGACGGTCAAGGCGGGTGCTCAAGACAGGGTTCTCGGGCGTGCTGGTTGCCCTTTCGCCAAAAGGGTCAAAATCTGCCGGCGCACCTGCAAAATCTGGTGGGGGTCGCGGGGGGGGGGGGGGGGGGCTTAATCGAACCTGGCCTTGTTTTGAGGATAGGTGTTCTTCTTGTCTTTAGCCTTGCAGGACTGGCGTCGATTCTTTTGAGCCTCACTTGCTGCTTATAGATCGGCACTCCTCCCCACTTCAGGGTGGCGCCAAAGAGAGTGACGCTGCACAGGGGTTCCCGATTGTGTGTGAGGCAGCGAGAAAGATGATTCGCTGGGTCGCTGGCCTCAACTTTCAGCTCCACTACCTTCTCATGGCAGTTTGCAGTTGCTTCACCCCGCTACGTTCAGCTCACCCGCTCGTGTGCTTGACTTGGTACAAGGCCTTGGCACTCTGGAGAAACTCCACAGATGTTTCCAGCGCCTGCATCAAGAAGCAGGGAGGGCCAAGAGCAACAGCAGCTCTAGCTTGGCCATTCTTGAAGGGGCAAGACTCAGCAAAGTCCCCAAGGTCAAAAAGCCTCCTCGCAAAATCGAATGCAGCGGCAGCTTCAGTTCCGACCTCACGGACGTCTGCCTCCATCACTCCGGCACCGATAAGCGCATGGATCTGCAGCCAGGCATGAGCCCAGAGGGTCTGAACCAACTCTTCTCAGGCAAAAGCATAACAGATAGCAAACATCCCGCACACAATCATGCCCAGGCACGTAGGGTCGGGAGTTGCGATAGGCGTCGAGAGCTTCCTGGCGTCAGGACAGCTAAGACAAGCGCAAGAGTCGTTGCTTGCCAGGAACAATTCTGGCGTTTCACTGCTGAGAAGCCCCAACATTGCTTCATCCCTTTCTCCTCAAGGAAAGCCGTGGCACCAGCCGCCGCATCGGGAGGGAAGGCCCATACACGAAGACCTGGCTCCTGGCCAAGGTCAACTCCGCTTGCACCGACCGTGGACTTTAACTCCGAGAGAATACTGATGCCTTCTGTGAGAAAGCATCGAATTTCCTGGGCTTCGTGACAAGGAAAAGTGACGAAGATGTCACAATCTAGACTTCTGAGGATTGTCCTTTAAAAGCCTCCGTCACAGTTGTTCATGAATAAGGCCCATGCGCATGCTGGCAACAACAACTTCACAAGGACGGCAACACTGTACATGCTACTGTGCAGGGCAAGGGCATGTCGAGGCTCTTCGAGGCAGAGGGCTTCTATGCTCAGGATTCTGGCTGGCGCCAGCTGTAATTCACACTTTGGATGCCGAGTACATGTGAAAGGGGGCCCACTGGAGCCGAGCTGCAAGTCGAGGCTGACAGAAGCAAAAGGTCTGGCCTCGGATTTCGGGACCTGATCCAAGTGGTCCACCCAGAAATGCAGCCAGGGATCCTCGGGCATCTCAGGGTGAGGGTAAGAAGAAAGAAGCCAATTGACAATTGGAGGCATTGAGCATATGATCTCGCTGCCCCTGCCTCAAAACCTGCTTGCTCATCGCGGATGAGGGCCACATCCCGGCAGCCTCTAGGAGCGACACTCCAGGTTTACTTCAGATGGGCCACTACATTGTCATTCTGACATTCTGCACTACCCTACCTCGTGCCAAGAGTGGCGCGATTACCAATGCGAGTGAAAGGGCCTCGCGGGCACCGGCACCTGCCACATGCCCATCTCGCCGAAACAACTTCTGCGATACGATGAGATACCGTAAGCATCTGTAAGCCTAGGCAGGTCCAGCCTGGCACAAGAATCGCCGCCGCATTTGCAAGTGCCACGGTGGCCAGCGCCTGGCCTTCCAAGCAGGCCTGGCTCAAAGCCAGGAACATTTTCTCTCGTGGCCTTCTCAACTTCTCAACTGCTCAACTGCTCTCAACATCTTCAATTGTGGTGTCCTCCACAACGGCGACCGCCCGCCGAGCTCGGCCTGTGGCCCAGCTCACTGCAGCTTCCAGGACCCGCAAAGCCTTCGCAGCACAGTACGGCCCTGAGCCCTCAGCGACACTTAGGATCTTTCCTGGCCCCCTGCCTCAGGTGCTGCCTTCTCAAAGGCTGCACCCATGAAGAGCCCTGCTCCTGAAGTTCCGCAGTGCCATGATTCCATGTTCTCCGATGCACTTTTTTCGAGACCAGGAAACTGTATCTTCTACCTGCACCATCGACATTTCAAACCCCTCCAAACTTGAAAGCAAGCTTGAAAGCAGTCGTGTCTCCAAGGTTTCAAAGGACCCGCACCTGTGTCCCAGAGCCCACACCGCTCCATCGGCCCCGCGCCCACGCAGAGCTCGCCCGAACCGGCCGGAAGCCGCAGCACGGACACACCAGGGGCCTGAGGGTGACAACAGGGGAGCCGCTGGGCTCTTTCCGTTGCGGTTAGGGGCTCCTTCCATGTGGCCCCTAGGATAAATCAGAGCGAAATGCTCAAAACAGATACTCCCGGAGCAGTAACATCAGAGAACCTTATCGCTGAATTATTGGACTTGGCTGACACTCCGAAGGACGGAGTTTGCGAATGCGAAAGTCTGGCACTTGCAATCGCAGCCAACCCTGCTGCAGACTTTGAATCTCGCTTGGGGACATGAATGCGTGACACATCCACTTTGGACAGCCTCAACCTCCTCCAAAGCTGATACCTCCTGATACCTTCCAGCAGAAACTACAAACCCGCCACGACGACCAGGTCATTGAAAGGTGAGCCGGAGGGCACCGTCTTTGGGTTAACATGAAGCGAGGCTTTAGGGCGTGCTGCACGACCGTACAGCGCCAAATATACCATTGTCGCTCATGTGATCTCATGTGTTAGTCTATGTTTGTGTATGTGAATCATGTGTCTTTCTACGTTTTCGATGACGAAGAAATTTTCTCAAACGTGCCCAAGGCAGAGGAGTAGGAAAGGACTCTTGGTGTGTTTTGGTGAGTCCGCAGCAACAGAACGCTTCGCTTCATCAACGTCGCTTCAATGCCCTCTATGCCACCCAGTCACCACGTTCGCCGGAGGCCCCTGGCTGGTGAAGACAGGCACCTTTACTTAGCAGATTGAAAACAAGCCTCCAAGCAAGGCAAGACTAGAGCAAACCCACGGAAAGCTTCACAGTCTTCTCAATGCACTGCTGATCAAATGATGAAGCAAGCAAAAACACGAATAAACGCGAACAGTACGGAGGTATGCCATGGCTGCTTCAAGGTTCCACCTGAGCTGCCGCAGCCAGGCATTGCAGCTTTGCGGCGAAAGCGGGGAAGAGCGCTGGCGGCGCTTTGGCCGCCCAGCCGTCCTGCGGCAATGAAGGTTTGCAAACGACTTTTTAGCAAACCTTGTAGGAGTGCCTGATCCAAGATCTCAGCGCAGCTGTGGCGCAAACGGAGGATGCTAATGATCTTGGTGAAGGAGTCATTAACCTTGTTCCGTGCCCAAAGTATGCAGGGAATGCCTTTGTCCCAGTGTTTCGCCGAGCGACACAGAGCTGGAGGCGGCCACCCTCGAGGTAGAAACAAATGTCCTCCTCTGCAGTTCTCAACGCGGCTTTGAGAGCTTGAAGCCACTATAAAGCCTCTAATATGTTTGAGAACTTCAAATGGCTGGAAGAATGCTGGTCGCGTGACAAGACAAACAATTGACGGGCGCGGGTCCCTCGAGCCGCGTGCCACAAATCCGACTCGCGGAGCAACGAAGCGCTTGAATTCGGATGCGCCGGTTGAAAGCATAAACAGGAAACATACTCAAGGATCATCGAAGGGATGGGAATTGTCAATGCTTTTGGAAAACCAGCAAGATTAGTCTTCAAGATGGACATCTTGGTCGAAGCTGTCACGACTTTTTGAGAACGGCTTTGCATTCTGAGCTGAGGGTCATGAGTTTGCAAAGCTTCTGTCATGAGATGGCATGCATGTCTCTCCATTTGTTGAGCCAAACATACCCAATGCACACGCATCTCGCTTGAGTTATGCTAACCTGCCGTGCAGATGACGATCAACTGCACCCGTGCTAGTTGCTCGGCCAAGCTTCTTTCACGCGGGCTGGCAAAGGCCAATTCCCTGTACAGTAGCAGCAATTGCTTGCAACAAGCCGCGAACTGCTTCGTCCAATCTGAAGGTGGTAATGCCAGAGGTTGGATGTCGCTTCCAGTGCTTGGTCGCCTTTGTGCTCAGATCTGATCACATCGTGAGCAAGCACCCCAAGGCTTCTTGCGAGTGCCTTCTGCGTCCGTCACAACTCCTCAAGTTCATGAAGGCCAGGATGCATGCTGCTGCTCAATCAAACTTAACCCTCGCCGACTCTTGCCTTCTCTCCAGCAAGTAGCCAGTCGAAAACGAATTCACTGTTCGAGAGCACTGACAGCTGCACCCAGGTGACAGCTGTTCCGTCTGAAGTTCCCTCCTGAGGCACCAGCATCGCGTCTGCTGCCAGTGTTCACACTTATCACGGCTGATGGCAATGCTGATGCCAATGCTGATGCCCTGCTGGCAGCATGTCAAGGTGCAAGCATCTTTTTGTGTCATTGGGCCTGTCGGTCCCCACGAGGAGCCGCGTTGCCATTCACCAACTCACCTCCTTTGCAAGAGCTAAGTTCCGCATTGAGATGCGATTGGATTCGACCGCGGTGTTCCAAAAAGCTCGCTCGCAAGATCAAGGGCCCTCATGCAGAGATTCCAGAACTGCAGATAATCACGTTAACCTGAGGCATCTTGGAGCTTCCTCAACAGCGACAAGGCACGGTGACACAGTACCTCTCTTCCCGCGTTGCCACTGCTGGCTTTCAAGCCGGCAGAAGAGCCGCATTGAAGCTGACCACTTTGCTGACTGCTGTTGCTCCACATGAAATGACTGTTGCAGTAAATGTGCTCATCCTCACAGAAAACAGATGGCCCATTCACTGCGCCTGGCCGTCATTGAGATGGCTGCGCTGCAAGCCTTTCGATCTGTCGGCTGAGGCTCTACTGCGGAAGAAAACCAGACACCCTGGGGCATGCAAATTTGCGTTCACAGAATAACAATTCTGTCAATAGTGGAGGGGGAAATTTGAAGGATCCCCAGCTTTGCCAATCACAGCACATCCCCCAACACACTGATGCAAACTGTCATACACCGTCAAATTGCACAAAAAATGCTTTTACATGCTTTCAGCACAGCCTGGGCACTGATGCACTATGCGCTTTGCACCCAAAGTAAGAGACTGCACAGCATCTCTGCCATGCTGTACAGCGATGAATATTGCCAATGAAGATCAGGCTTCAGGTCGTGCAAACGACATTACGTGCTGCCCTACCGAAATCTTGCACGAAGCTCTTCACGGCAGTCGACGTCCGTGGCCGCTAGGGTATGCAGGACACGCCCACAGTCTCCAGCACTATCAAAGACCCGGCCCGCCAGCGTTTCCGTGATAAGGTCAGGCTGCAACCCCTGTAGGTCCTCAAGCCTCGGTGAGGAAAGCACACTCAGCAATGATTGAAAGGTCTTGAAAGCCTTCAAGGTACAAAACTGTAGCAACCAAGGTACAGCTGTTGTCCAACACGCCACTTTGCAGCTTTTTGGCAGGCCGTGAGCGCAGCATTGTAAGTGGTGATACCTAAGCTGGACAAACAAGGGCCTGGCAGCATATCAGATGTTTCACAGAGTACACGACCTGCCAGTATCGGGTGGGGACCGAGTCAGAAACAAAGAGTCGGAAAATGCCCGAGGCCAGCCCGGCGAGTCCGAAAAAAGAAGCCCCCGAGTCAAACCCAAAGCGGCGAGTCGGAAAATGTCGGGAAAAAAACAACTTTGACGGGCACAGCTTGGCATCTAGAAGGATGGATGGGTGGATTCATGGATGGATGGATGGGGTCGACCAGAGGGATCTGCGGCCTGCTGACAGCGTCCCTCTCGCCTTCGCAGGGAGCCCCCGCACCGTCATCGGCAACCCTCCAGCTGAGAGTTCAAGGCACCGTTAGCTGGCCACCTCAAGAACGCAGCCACGAACTCTCCATTACCCGGTACCCGCGCAAACGCCGAAGCGCACAGGCAAGACAACCGAAGTGCCAGCAGTGTGCCCACCAATCCGCCATTCAGTCCCTGCACCCTCTAGGCCCAGGCCACAGAACTACCGGCGGGACCCAGGATGAGGGCACCGCATCTAGAAGGGCGTCGGGTGGGGCCAGCCCGCTAAACCCCTAGAAGCCCTAAACGCCCCAAAAATTCGAAAACCTCAAAACCCTAAAGCCCTAAACCGTAAACCCCAAACACCCTGAAAACCCGAAACCCCAAAAACCTGGAACCCTAGAACCCTGAACCCTCGAAACCCGAAAATCCGCAAACCTTAAACCCCAAACCTTAAAACCCCAAAAGCCGCAAGAGCCAAGAGCACCCAAAAGCCTGAAAAACCTAAAAGCCCCCAAACCCTGAAACCCTAAACCCTACAAACTCTACTCTATACCCCCAAAACCCGAAACCCTAAAACCCGAAACCCTAAAACGCCAAGGTCGCCAAACCTGCAATTCTAGAGACCCCTATATAACCCTGAACACCCGGAACCCTAAAAGCACTAAACCCTAAAACACTAAACTCACTAAACCAGCCTGTGGTCATAATTGTCATATTTGGCCTGGATTTTCTGACTCGGCTCTTTCCAATTTTCGACTCGACCCTCCCGGTTTCCTGACTCGAGATGGATTTTTTCCGACTCATGTTCCGGACTCGGGGCGTTTGTTTCTGACGGCCTGCACTCGTATATGCAGGATCGTGGAGGTTCAATAGCTGCTTGAATCGCTTGGCCTACACCCAACCAAGAAAGAGGCTGCCCCTTACGCTGGCATTGCGCATTTGTCCTGACTGCGGCTGAGGGGCTGTGCTCCAGACGTTGTCTCACCACCTCCTGCAGCAACCTGACTGCGAAACACAGCAAGGTCTTGAACCTTCCAGCCTGCATTGAAGCCACTGTTGAGTGGCTTGAGCCCAGTCAAAACAAGGACCCTCCACTGAAACCCAAACTCCACCTAAACACAGGAACAATGACAGGCTGGAGCACAACTTGTGAACATGTCAATCCTACCCAGACCTCTGGCTTGAGCCCCGAGGCTCTATTGCCGGCTCCCACGCCCCGCGCTGAGCACAGGCACTGATGGCGGCGTTGCAGGCGACAATCTTAGAGATCCAGAGTCGCGTCTAGGTTTCGGGCTTTGATTCAGGGCGGGTGCACCTGTTACCTTAACAACATGAACTCTCTAACAAATGATGCGGTAGCACGACGACACCACGCTACACTGGTCAGTACCCCGGCAAACACGTTTAAGCATGCAGAAAAACGCTTCGATCGTGACTTTGCCTCAGAGTGAATTGCTGGCTTTAGGTTGTTAAGGCTGCAGCATTTGGGGTCGTCTGCAGCTCCCACAACAGCACCAGGGCCAGCTGCCATTCACCGGCCTTCTCGCAGGCACTGATTGCGGCCTACAGCGCAGGCACTCTGGGCCCATATCGGGCTTGATATGCTTCATGTGTCTTCACATGCTGCTTTTTTTTGGCGCCAAGAGGCATTCAAGGCGATCTCGTTCAGCAGGCGCTGCCCAGTCAGCTCCTCCAGCAACAGACAAGCCGATTGCCACATGCGGCCTTTCTCGCATGCAGTGATCGCGGAGCTGTAGGAAATCACACTTGGCTGGACCTGATTGCTTCGTAAATTGCCAAGCCAAAGCTGGCCATGCAACCACTCGCCCTTCTTGGCACAGGCACCGACTATCCCATTGCCAACAATCACATCGTCTTGCACGAAGATGCTGCGGAGCTGCCGCAACACAAGCTGTGCATTCTGCCACTGAGCATGCTTCTCACATGCATTGATGGCAGAGCTGGCAATTATCACATCTGGGTCCATACCACGATTCGCCAGGCGTTGCAACAGGAGAAAGCTATGGGTCCATAGTCTGATGTCGCTGGCTCGGATTGCCGCAGTAAAGGAGATGGCATCAGCCTGCGCAAACAGACCCATGGAAGCCACGCACAAAACACACACACACACACACATACACACACACACACACACACACACACACATATACGCACACGAGGGCACACTAGCGTGTTAGCCTACGGAAAAAAGCCATTATGGCATGGCCCTTACAACAGTGCTGCCTGCAAACCCTCTGCTTCAAGTGAATGAAGCAACATCGAGGCACGCCGCCACTCGCCCTCGTGAGCACCCAGCAAAGAATTGAAAGTAAGGAGGTCAGCCTGAAAAGCCTGCTCGGCAAGATTGCCTAGCATCCGATCAGCAACCTGCCAAGCACCTCCCGCGTCGAGCACTGAACTGACAGCATTGTATGTGATGAGATTCGGTCTCAGTTCTCGCCGGTCAAGTTCCTCCAGCAAGAATAACGCTGTTTGCCATTGTCCGCCTCCCACACACGCACTGATCACCGAGTTAAACGCAATGACATCCGGGCTCTGCACTAACTCGCAGAAGAGCAGCAGAGCCAGCTGCCACTCTCCCGCTTTCGCAAAAATGCTAATTGCCGTGCTGCATGTGATCAAGTCCACCTGCTCCTGCCCAAGTTGGAGGAAGGCGAAAGCGCTGAGTGCCTGTTGCCATGCTGAAGCTTCCTCGAAGGTGCTGAGAGCCGTGTTGTGGCTGACAAGATCTGCTCTCAGGCTCCGCTCTCCAAGCTCCTGGATGAAACGAAGGGCACTCGACCAACCCCCGTGCTCCTTAAAGCAATTGGCGACTGCATTGTAAGCAACATTGTTGGCTTCGATCCGGCGGCCGGAAAACTCTCTGAAGAGACACAGTGCCTCTTGCCAGCGCTGCCCGCCAACAGCCCGGTCAAAAGCACCAATTACAGTAGCACAGGTCACCACATCCACACGCACCTGGCCATCCAGCGTGTCGAACAGACTGACGGCCCACTTCCATATCCCTGCGTTCCGGCACGCAGCTATCACAGAGCTGAACAGGACCTGGTCAGGAAGCACCTGGAGGGCCTTCAGCTCATCCAGCTTAGCTATGGCCCTCTGCCACTGTACCGCCCGGCCCAACGACCTCACAATGGCCGTTGTGCTTCGCAGTATCTGAGTCTGCGTCTTAAGGCGTCCACGCTGGAGGTTCTCCCTGGCCAACTTTAAATACACATCACCATCCATGCTCATGTGTGCGTGTGTGCGCACTAAAGGTCAGCTCGAGCCCGACATTGTAAGCTTGGTTACATTCATTGCGTGCTGCCTTCTACCCTCCATTTGTGACATTCTCCACTACAGTACACCCACCTGGTGCAACTGCATGCAAGATCACTTTAAGCTGGACAGCACGCTTTCATGACCGTGATATTGCGTGTTCGAACCCATCGCCAGAGAAGCGAAATCTCAAATATGCCGCATCGAAGCACCACTCCACACTGCATGCGTAAAAGCATGCACGTTTCTGGACCTGAACATCGATCGTACCCGCCGTCACCTGTAACAAGATAATGAGTTCCAGATGACACGAGACGCAAGAAACAACAAGGCTTGCCGGATTGGGGTAGCTGCTCCAGCTCAACTTCCGCTCTGCGACAAAATCGGCCATTAAATATCATGCAGGGGCAACCAAGACCCGCTTCTGCTGCAGAGATTGTGGAGGGGCGTAAGCCACATGGATCCGCATAGCGCAACACGGGACACCTCCAGCTTCACTGGAGAGCTCGGAGGCGACACAAGCGGCGCGACAGGAGCAGAGGTGGAAGCTTCTTCTCACCACCGCAAGTGCCGACGGAGGGCTTCCTGACTTCTCAGATTGATGGTACGAAGGTACTGCGGGATGTTGTGAACCTGGGTCTTGTCGAAAGAGCCGCATGCAGACGACAACGTCAAGATGTCGGCATGCACTTCTTGCATCTGCATTCCTTCGACCAGCCGGAGCACTTCTGACCATCTACTGCCTTTGGCGAGAGCACTGACCACTGCGTTGTAGCTAATCACACTAGCCTCGAGCTGCTCGCAAACGAGCTCACGGAAGAAATGCTGAGCTCGCCGCCAAGCCCAGTCTTTCTCGCAGGCGCTTATCGTTGAAGAGACAGAGACTGTGGTGGCCTCAAGCTGCGTTCGGCGTAGCTCCTGCAGAAAGAACCAAGCCCGGCGCCAATCACCGCTCTTCTCACAGGTGCTGATCACAGCATTGTATGCTGCGGCGTCTGCCTGTAGGCGACGTGCCTGAAGCTCTTGTAGAAGCATGCCTGCCTGCCGCGCCTCACCACGACGCTCGCACGCGCTGATGGCTGCACTGTATGCAACAACATCTGCCTCCACTCCCTGCTCCAGCAGCTCTCTTAGCAGAAGCTGCGCCTGCTGCCACTCGCCCTGTTTCTGACAGGCGCTGATTACGGAACTGTAGGTGATAATATCGGCCCTCAGCCGCTGCTCCTGAAGCTGACGTAAGAGCGCACTTGCCCTCTGCCACTCTCCGCGCTTCTCACACGCACTGAGCACAGCATTGTACGAAACGAGATCTCTTGTAGCGTGAGCTTCCAAATCGCTTTGAAGTAGGAGCCACAAAGCCCTGGGCCACTCCGCAGCCTTTTCCAAGGTGCTGAGTACAGCATTAAGTGTGACAGTGTTTGTTCGACTCGCTGGCAGCTCTTTCTCTGCGTTGAAGAGGTCGAGAAGCGTTTGTTCTGCTTGTCGCCAGTTGCCTAAGGCTTCACAGCTACTGAGCACGGCATTGCAAGCGACAACGTCTGGTTGCACTGTCCGGGACTTCACATCTTGTAAAGTGAGGTGGGCCCGTGACCAGGCCCCCTCCTGGTGGCATGCTGACAGGACAGAAGTATATGTAATGATGCTTGGCTGCCCGTGCTTCCCTGCAAGTGCTTCAAGAAATGTTTGTGCGATCAGCCACAGTCCACCTCCCTGACAGGCGTTTGCGGCAGAATTGTACGTAACGATATCCGTGCGTGCTTGGCATCTCGCAGCGGCCTCCAACAGAAATTGAGCCCGCTTCCAGTCCCCATCCGTTGCGTGCGCGGTAACCGCTGCATTAAACATTCGTGTGTTCGCTGCAAGCCTCTCAGACAGAAGGTTACTCAGGAGGCCTGTGGCACTGGACCAATCTCCGGCAGTCGCACAGGCACCCATGACAGAACCATATACAAACTCGTCCGTCTGCAGCCCGCTCTGCCGAAGCTCGTTGAAGAGTTGCACCGCCCATCGCCACGAAGCGCCCCTTGTGCAAGCGGTGATGGCTGACGTAAGCACGACGTTATCCAACTCCACGGTTTGCAATGTGAGCGACGTAAGCAAGTCGAGCACCTGCGGCCAGCAACTGCCTCGTCCGCACGCGGTGATTGCCGAAGTACACCTCAAAGCTTAGCCAAGGCAGCTTGCAAACTCTCCGCTCTAGGGCACAGGATGCTTTGTCACCTGGAAGCTGCTGGCAACACCGACACACACAGAACTTAAATGCGTTTGGCACGACGCACTGGACACCTTCCAAGTGTGAGACCTCACGGTAGGGTAGAGGCAACATCGAAACACGCATCCACGACGAGACACTCTTTCAATCGATGTCGGCTGGCTCCAGATACCCGTGGCAGCGAAGTGACAGTCGGACGCATGAGTCAGCCTCCAACAGATTGCAGGAAGCAGCACAGCACAGCACAGCGATCAGCATTACGTGAGGACCATGGAGGCCCGAAGTTGATTTTTTTCCTGCTGTGCCGTCTTTTTTGCTGTGCAGTCGTTGTCCTCGGACTTGTCGCTTTTAGCCGTGCAGTCGGAACGCTTTGCTGTGTGAAGCCGACAGGCATTTAGGTTGTTGCTTGCTATGCGGTCGTGTTTGCGGCTTCTGCGGCCGAAGCATGGGCTCTGGCATGTTCTTTTTGGAAGTGCTTCTGCAATTGCCCGGAACAGCTAACAACAATCGGTAACTTTGCAGCACGGCCTGCCTGCAATGGAAGCGGGTTGCAGCTGCAGACACCCTGGTCAAGATGCCCAGGGTCCCCAGCTTCATCATGGCGCCTTGCCCATAAAGGGGACTTTCGACAGGCTTCAGAGCGCTTCAACATTGCACATGGAAACACCACATCGCCGAGGCTTTGAGCCACTGGGAGCCACGTGGGTCCAAGGTGCGCAATATGCCAAGTACGGTCTTGGACCATGCCGACTCTACCACTGGCCACGCCCGCACTCTGCCGCAATCCCCCGCAATCTCCAGCGAAAGAACCTGAAAACCTACAGTTTAAAGCGTCCCCAAAGTGGCCACATGAGGCCACGCTCTGAGTTCCCCAGCAAGCAGCGACCCAGCGACTATAAACCATAAACTTAAGCAGGCTCTTATCTAAAGTATGTTCAAGGCAGGTCCGGGCTGGGGGCTTGAAAGCTTGGGGCTTGCAATGGGAGGTTTTGTGCCACTTGGACTGGTTATTGGGCCTGGGGACAAGTGTGTCCAATGACGTAAGATTGAGCCCAGGAAGTCTGAGGGTCTCTACATGCACTACATGGTAGATATGAGCGTCTGCGAGTCGTTGTCATTCCTTATGTTGTTTGCCGGGGAGTGATCGATGCTGACGGCACTGTCGCTCCGGACACAAAATACCGCTCGGAATTCGCAGTTCTACAAACATAGCATCTCCCAGCTGTACCCCACAGCTACAGCGCACAGCGGATCACAAAACCTTTTCTCCCCGAAAGCTGGATGGCAAAGCCCAACTGGCCTTGCTCCTGCATCCCCTACTCTCCTACTTGTGGTCAGATGTGCGAGGTCTCTGAACTGCTTTCTGCCGTCACATGCAATTACAATGACTTTCTGACACCAAGCACAGCCGATCTCCTGTGCCCAAGCGGCATGTGCGGCTGAAGCTACTCACTCAGAGCTTCACCATCACCTTAGGTCAGTGCACTCTGGGGGCAAGCAGGCGCAGGACCCTTTGGATGCTTTGAAGACTGAGAAGCAAAACTAACCTGCTAGAACACGCTGGGCACATCATGCAAGCAGCGTGACGTCTTCGACATCTTCCTGAGGTTCTGACTCTAGTGATGTGCGGGATGAGTGAGCCTTGGTCCAGATTTCACAAGAAAAAGCTATTGGCCGACCTTGGGCAGTGATGTGGAAGGAATCGTGCGCAAACATGTGGCTGGGAGTACAGGCTGCTGGACAGCCGACCAGGAGGTGTAGACAAACAAGATAGCACCCAGGAGCAGAACAGCTCCATCCAGCGCCTCAGATTATCAGTTTCCAGTATAATGCTACAAGCAGCCAGCTTTCCACCCTGGCAAACGACGGAAACACTCAGGTGCAGGATCACAAGCGTCAACACATGTGCAATGATAAGGGTCGGACAGCTTCCACTTTGCCGGGCTTGCAGATCTGGACAGCATGAGAGAGATTGAAACCACTGTCGTCAAGCTTGTCATGGCAGTTCTGAAGCTACAGTATGCCATCGTGAAAGGCAGCCTTAGTCCATCAGAACACGTCAGGGCTACCTTGACGTAGCAGATGATGGGAAAAATGAAAGCCAAGGGCACCTGAGGAAGGCACTGCATCTCATGCGCTCTGCGACATGCCCGCATGACCCGCATCATGGCATTCCCACACCACCAGCTCTTAGTCTGCATGTTCACTATACCGCATATGGCAAAGCTAGAGAATCTGCTGCCACATCACACTGTTCATGGGCTTTCAGGCATGTAGGCCCCTGACGCAGCAAAAAGATCCGATCAATGAGACAAAGGCGTCGATTCGATCTTTGCCGAAAACCGAGATGATGGCCTCAGCAGATTGACCCCAAGGCGACAGTGTAGTTGATCCACCCAAGCCCTGCACTCTCAAGAAACCTCTGTACAAAGAGCCCTGTGCAACAAGCCCCGCAATGAGAGTCTTCTTTTGGGCCACCAGACTCCCAGTGTGCTCGACCCTACACAGGCCCTACACTTGTGCGAGAGTCGTAGCTGTCAGGGCCCGGACACAAGCACAGATCAAAAGTGTCCTGGCGAGTACAGATGGCGTGCTGAGAGGCATCACTGCATCCCATGGCTTAATGTTAGAACAACTGCTGACATCTGCTTGGGTGCTAAGCTTGACCTCTGACACTGTTTTGACGACCCTGCCTATTCCTTGACTCCTGTCCTCACCCGTATGCCTGAGGATTGAACGAAGACCGTCAAGCACGATACAAGCATCCACCCCTCCTCATGCCGTTGATCTTCAACAGTGTTTGAGGACCTCGCAAATTAGGAACGACGTCTTCTTAGTGGCCTGAAGACACAGTGCGGCCCCGTGCACTAGCGGCTGTAGCCGAGACGGCAGCCAGGTGCAGATACATCGCCGAAAAGCAGTGTTTCCAGGTAGGCGGCTGCCTTGGGATGACAACAGACATCGCATGCAACCACTACACAAGCTAGCATGATGCTGGGTTTCCTACTACCTCTACCAATCATTGTGGACCTGGGCTGCTGACAGGGAAGAGGAAGAGAGGCACGTTGAACCTCAGGCAGCTGCTATCAGTCAAGTTTTCTGGTTTCAGCACCTGCCACCTTCATACACTACGTAAGCACTCATCCAACCCGGAGCCCGGAACACAGCAAGAAGCCAGCCAATCCTGTAGCGCCTGCCATGACCCTGCTCAGCACCAGGCAGCGATGCCAGAGCAAAGGCAAAGGGAAGCACACGGCCCACCCTGGTGCCCCTTAGTGGTGAAGTGGTGCAAGAAGCACAGAGAGAGAGAGAGAGAGAGAGAGAGACAGACAGAGACAGAGAGAGAGAGAGAGCAGCTCAGAGACGGTTCCGTTGTATGCGGTCAGAGATGATCAAAGCTATCCGCAGCTCTGACCCCCTGCGATCAACGTACAAGCAGCTTCAACAAGAAGCCAACTTGTCGGGCAAACCTAGATCGAAAAAGTGAATCACTCTCCAATTCGCTACCCAGTCTTACACGAGCAAATCCTCACAGCAAGAAGCTACGACAGCTACGAAAATGGCTGCCATGACAGCCAAAAGAGCTTCTTGGGCCCCAACTTGGGCAAGTTCAATGTGATCACATCCCTGTGGGACTTGAGGAGCGAGCACGAGAATAATGTAGAACAATGCGGGAGTGCCACCATGTGCCACAGAGAACACAGCAGCAGCCGATTCTATTCGTAGCGGGACATCAGAATTCCGGCAGATGTCGCGTGTTGACTTCGAAGGCTTCCGGGAAAGACATTTCTATGTTCATAACTTCAGGGCGACTGACAAACATCAACCAGTGCCCAATACAAGCACATTGAGCGGAACACACGTGTGTGCGCAAGGCCCTAGGCCCTGGCCAAGAATGGTTGTGCGACAGCGCAGGAAGCCTTACCTCAACCGGAGACAGAGGCCGCCTGGTGTCTTCACCGTAGCGCATGTAGTTCACAGCTCCAAACCTCAGCACAAAAAAGTAATTTCGCAGCATCGCAGGCGACTCCACACAGAACAGAAGAGAAGAAGTCAAGACATAAGGTGACATAGCAGGAACAACCGAGTGAGAGCCAGCTGGCTAGCAGCCTTTCCCCGTGCAGCTTCCGTCGGATTACAGCTCCATCTTGACGACGAGAAAAGTAAGTCCCCGGCACAATGAACAAGCAGCACACGCCTCATCTTCATAAAGGGATAGTGTCAGGCCCTGCAAATGAAAGACCCAAACCCAAACAAGAACTAACACGGCAACATGCTGTGAGTTTGTAGGTTCAAACCGTCGATAGCAACATGAAGACATCTAAGGTACAAGTACCACGATCACTGTGCATCTGTGCCCTAAATGCAGCCATGTGTCCACATAAAGTTACCACAAGGATGGGCGCGAACCTGAGACGGCATTGCTGCATGCCGTGTGATAGCTACGGGTTCACCACCACAGGCCACAGCTGAGGTCTGCGCGTGTCTTTCTGCTCGTGGGCATCGTACCTCTGTTGATACTGCAAAAGTTTAGACGGCGTTTCGGAACTGAATCACAAGCTCATCCGGGCCGCTCACATCGGTATCACGAAGTTGATGCACTCAAAAGAAAACACGACTGTACCAGCGAAAACCATCCAATTGGGACCTTGGCTTTGATTGGTCGTTGCTATGCCTGAACTAGAGACTCTTTGCGCCAGCTGTCACTCAAACTAGGAGCGCAACCTGCCAACTCTATGCCGTGTCCAACCTCATCACCTACAAAGGGGTGCCACACGTTCTCACCCACACCGCTCGCACAGTGTTCAAATGGGGAGTCCAGTGAAGGTGTAGATAGGCCCCCGCCAGCAAGGCCGATGATCGCGTAGGCAAGCCTCAGCTCCAATCAGCCCCAAGCTGAGCCGTGAACGGTCTGTGAAAGATCAATATCTAACTCCTTGTCCGTCCTTGAGGCGCCTGCAAGATTGCCAAGGCAAGAAGAACCTCACATAACTCAAACGCTGCGGGGTTTCAGGTTCGGAAGCCAACAGGTGATCTCACAGTTTGCAGATCTGTGCGGGTGTTTTCTCGGATTGCAATCTCTTCGAAGAGAAAATCTGAACAACTCCAAAACAAATCCCCTGAGCATGCGTCCGTGGTGTTGGCAATGAGGTTGGAAATCTGCTCAGATGCAGCTTTTCGTGTTCACCGGCTGCTTCGTAGACATTCTAGTACTACAGGTGTGGTCACTCAACACGTTTGGGGACGAGGACTTAGTGGCCCCGCCCGCCTGAAAATATTTGAGCTGCCGAATCCAAGACATGGGGATCACTACCAAAAGCTGCAAAAGGAGGATGTTGACCTCGGACCTCAGTTGTCTGAAGCTAAACGGGATTTGAGGAGCAGTGATGCTTTCGAAGCAGTCAAGCTGCAGCTGCAAGTTGCTACCACTTTACACCGAACACTTCCGAAGCACTACATGCATGCGCCGAGAACTGATTGCCATACAGTGCGCTACTCAGAGACGGATCCGGTGACCTTCCCGGTGCTCAGAGTAGGTGGATAGAAAAAATGGGCTCTGAGTTTGCCACCACAGGGGTGACGACAGGTTTAAAGCCTGCGAAGATGCGCAGGAAAGTGTGCAAGCACGTGTCCAGCATGCGTTCTCCACAATACCGGGGCAAACTGAAGCCCCCATGAAGGTTTACGAAGCACTAAGACCGCCCCCAAGACCTTCAGTGCTCCATGGCAATTGAGTGCGACGTAAAGCATCTCGGAGCCTCGGGAATCAAGAACATCCTGCGACTCCCAAAAACAACAAAAAAGGGATGTCGCAGGTTTGTGTGCCCTGAGCTGCCAGCAAACAAAGCCAGTCTGGGAGAGCAGTATGCTCACATCCACAGCCCAGCTGCCAAGCGGCCCTATGGCCCGCCTACAAGAAGCACACGACATACACGACCCTGAAATGGGAAACACTGCGACAGGATGCGACAGGCATTGCGACTACGCGGTACTGTTTGTGCAGGATCGTCAAGGCATGGGACACACCGGCACTGGATAAACTTGTTGCTGCGAACTTCAGACTTCTTCAAACTGCAAGTCTTCAGCTGCTCGTACCGAGAAAGGTACTGTCGCTGACGTATTGTGATTTGCGTTCCAATACTGCACAAAAACCTGCCGTTTCTCAATGCGTCCCCTTCGCCAGTCTCGCATCATAACTACAGTAAACAGTACCAGCATATGCAAACAATAGGTCGCGTTGTTGCTCTGCTGTATCCAGAAGCGCTAGTGGCAGAAAAGAGGACATGTTCGCAGAAAGGCCGCAACAGTCTCTGATGAAGATGCCCCTGGACATGTTTGAGTAAATCTATTGTTGTTTGTCTTTTGTCCTCAAGGCGTTGAGGGTTTAGGGTTCAGGGTTTGGGGTCCACCCATACGTGGCAGCAAGTGGTAAGGTGGTAACATTCACCTGACTGCACGGCTGTTCCCAACACACTTCTCAGACCTTTCCGAGTTCCGTAATGTGTGGAAGCATAAGACTTGAAAGTTGTGTGTACCACGGCGCTCTTTCAACGCGCCTGGCGATGTCGCCATAAGTTCCGCCGCCAAGCGTGCGAACACACCTCCGCAAGCTGTCTCACGCTGTCCTGACCTAGGACCTAGGGCGAGCCCGAAATCACAAGCATCCCAGGTGTGCAGGTTCGCACTTCACTTCAGACAAAACATCTCGGGACGTTGTGCACTTCCGTCGTTCCCCGCCTCACGAGGAGAACCATGCCTGAACTGGCAGATGTTCTTTGCAAAACATTGGCGCAAGAACTTGGCATGAATCGTACGTGCAGCTGCATTCAGGGCACAATAAATTTCGATGCCCCCAATGAAGATCAACTCCCTGGCAAGCACTCGCACTCAGGTCTGTGGGATCTCAAAAGTGGCCAACACGCCAGAGCCACAACGGAGCCAGAAGGATTCCCGTACGAGAGAAAGCGCCCGGGATGATGATAAGCGTGCCACCTCAACAACAGCCAACTTCCATCTCACGAAAGCCTTCATCGAGTACCAGACAACACCGTGGCAACACACTGTGGCGCTCTCACCCTGTGGCACCTTTGTTTGCGGCACCTAATGCCTCTGCACCTCACAGGGTCTGTGACCAAACGAATTGTCCATTGCCAGCACTTGGCCAGCGAAAATCGTCTCCTCTACCAAATGAGCAGTCCAAGATGACCATGATTGAGGTCAGAGATACCGGTACGGGAGTCAAGAAGCTGTAACAGTGTGCGTTTGATGGGACTCCTGCTTTAGAGTCAAGGTAAAGGGGACAAAAGATTCTGTCCGAGCATGTCGAACTCTGCGATCGACCTTGGGCGGATCTTACCATGCCAAGGGGCACTTGTGCCAGCTGCAAGCATGACACATGCCCTCGAAGATTAAACGCATGTCACAAGCCGGAGCTTAAAGCTGGCTGTGGACACATGGAAAATGAAATGAGCAGACTCTCAAGGAAACGCCAGTGAGCCGTGTTCGTTGAGGTCTTAGTCAACTGGCTCGTCTGTCTCATGAAACTGCTCACTTACGATGCCTCCGACTCAGCTGCGTCGAGCAAAGCCCTGTCCTCATCATCCTGAGCAGTGGAATTGGCGACAATTTCCTCAGCCTCCATTGTTGGTGGTACCGGGGCGGACTTCTTCACCAAAACGTCCGGCACGCCAGACTCATCACGGACGATCATGACCTCCTCGTCCAGGTAAGTCACCTTCCACTGGATGTTTCTTGTTCTTTGTTGATTGCTCTACGTACCTACTCCTTCTACTTTCCCTTCGGAGCTGGCGCGCCGGAGCTGGTGGGGATACTTCTCCTAGGGCAGCCAAGAGGCCAGGATGCTGCGGCGCAACTCCAATGGAAGTTCCTGCCGATTACAAGCTGCTCTGGAAGGCAACAGGTTGCCTTCAGAGAGCTGCTCTTGAGCGTCTTTAAACACGTTTCCAAGGTGAAGTTAAGGGATTATCCCCCCCATGTCTAATATGATGCCATGCGGCATAGGCAAGGACAGAGCGACGACGAGCCAAAGGTCGCCCATAAGCATGAATGCATGCGTGCGCGCATGCGTGTGTGTGCGCGCGCGTGCCTGTAGGTGTGCATGTGCATGGGTGTGAACGAGCCAGCATGAATGATTCTTTATATGCATGCGATGTAGAACAGCATGGACGTCTTATGCAAGATGCCTTGGTTGCTTTTCGGGTTCCTAAGTTTTCGGGTCGAGAGCAGTAAAAAGGCACACGTACGCAATTCGTACTGCCATTGGCAAAGCTGTGACGGCACGGTGAACTTCGACGCAAACAGCCCAACATGCTAATGAGCATGAAGAAGCTGTCAATTACAAAGGGGGAAAAGCCGAAGAATGTTAGGCGTCGTAGAAATCAAATGATGCTGAATTTAAGCACACGCCTGACCACACCAATCTTTAAAGAAGAGTGTACCTGCAGGGGCCGAAACTTTTCAGAACATTCGGAAAATGTGGAAATGTTACTTCCAGGGTTCTGGAAGGCTTCTAAACCGGTCAGAGCCTGCGCGCACACGCACTCACGAGCATGCGAGCACATGGCACCCGAAACCCATTCATTCCTAAGGGAGACAGATGACAAGGAAAGACAGTTAAAAATCTCTTGAGAATTCATGAAGATAACGAAATTAGATTAGAAATTACATTATTCTCGCGGTCTAGCTCTCATATCTTCATAAAATATTATTGGTAAGGATATTTTATTATTCGGATGTACTAGAATACCCAGGTTTGCTTGCAACGTGCACGAAGGACCTCGTTAAACGAGGATCTGAGCATGGAGAGTGGTGCAAAAAAAGAGTCGCAGCATCAACGCTTCAGCTTGGAGGTATTGGATAGACTACTGTTATATAGAGAGACTCAGAGAAGGGTACATTGTTTGTGATGTCAGCCGCAGATAACAAAACCGTTCCAAGCTCTCAAACTTGCAGGGTTTAGGGGTCCGGGGTTTCAGAAGGGTTGCGAGAGGAGTAAGTTTTCGAGCCGGTGCTATTAGATTTGGGCCGTTCCTACGCCGCAACCTGGCAAGCCTGGGGGGGGTTGTTGGGGGGTGGCTTTTCCAAACTATGAAGAATTACAAGATTTCATTAGAATGTTTTCTTGCCTTTTTCACTTATGATTTATTATCTCGTTTATGCGCTCAGTAAATTCGCTAGCTCGTAAACTTTATTCACATGCTTTTATAGTATTCTTCTCCTCTATTCTCTTTATAATTTAGTATTCTTTTCTCTCTCTTTAACTGAACTTTCCAGAGAATAAAGAAAGAGCGAATAAGATAAGGGAAAAAGCATAATATTTTCTCCAATTTTCTGGTCGTTTATCATTCTTTCAATGTTCTACAATTAATTTCGTGTTTTAATGAGGCCCGCTGTGAAGATAATTAGCGAACGAATACAGTGAGCGAAGCAACCAAAACAGATGATTGAATAAAATGAAGCATGAAATCCGCGAGAATATAGTGAACGAAGTACAGTAGAAAAGGAGATGTGCACGGGTCCCGGAACACCAGATCGCGCCCATAAACGCGAAAGCCACTAACTACAGACGACACCCACAGACCGGCCCCCATTTGGGTGCTCCTGGCTTCCGATAGGCTCTGGCAACTTCACGGAGACCACCTCCTCACTCATCCGCGCTGCGCTTAGAGGCATCAGCTCGGCCTGTACAAGATGATGCATGTTGCACTTCCTTTGGGTGCTCCTCCTTCTGCATCTAGATCCCAAGAAGATTTAGGTTCAAACCCCGAGGCCCCCCAACCTTGTAGTTCAGGGTCTCCTTGCGGCCGGCAACCTCCACCTCGGCAGCCGCCTCCACATCCCGGCCACCGGTGATCTGCACCGTCTTGGAGCCAAGCTTCACACCTGCGGTCTGGCCCCAGAAGCCCTGGGCGAAGGAGGAGAGAGCATTGCCGAGAGAGAATCCGCCGCCATACAAGAAGAGCGCCAACTCTCGAGTTGGAGAAGACAAAAGGCCCGGTGCGTAGCCTTAGCTGATTCGAAATTATGCTGAGAGCAGCACAGAAGGCAACGTCATTTAGTGTACTCACATTTGGACTTACCTACCTTTCAGACTCTCCATGGACGTCGCTGGCGGTACACCGTGCTCACAGCGCTGGTCCAATCATGGCACAAGGCTGGTGCAAAAACAGGCCTTGCCATTGGGCGCAAAGTGGTGCCAAGTAGTTGAATTACGGGCCCGCGTGGTTGTTGTGTGAAGGTTGTGGATGGCACAAAATCACAAACAAAAACACCACAACGAACACGAACAAAACAAACATGTCTGACTCTTTGCTTTGTCTGTTCTAAAGTGAGCATAGCCCAGCATTCGCTTGACCAACAAATACACAAACAAACAAACAAACAAACAAACAAACAAACAAACAAACAAACAAGCAAACAGACAGACAAACAAACAAACACAAACAAGGCAAAGGCATTGGTATGTGCAAGCGTTCAGATTGCCTATCAAAGTTGTTGACATCATGCATTCCAAGATTCGACTCTGCAACAAACGGGTTTGTGCACATTCGAGTCGCACGCCAGCAAAAACATTGCATACATTGCTGACAGCGTTGTACAGCTTGTAAAGACATTTGCTGACATCATGTTCTCCAAACACGACAGAAGGTGCACTTCTCACACACACACACATGTCCAAGGTGCTGGTGTTTCTTTCTTGAAGCACTGCTTTGAGACTCAACACATTCGTTCATAATTGCTGGTCCAATTATGTTGTCCAGCCAAGGCTCTTCCCGTGTACTTGACCACCCAGGTGCCATCCAAGTCCACGGAGTAGACAGGCTCCTCATTGGTGTTTAACCTCTCCAAAGTGACGATGGCCTCGTCCACGCGGCCACGCATGGGTCTGCCCTCGGGCCGGAGGACCTCCTCCTCCAAAGAGCTGTCCTCCAGGAGGTCCATCAGTCGATCTTTGGCATCCTGCACAGCTGGGTTCGTTGTCGGCTTGGTCGGCTCCACTTCGACGTCTGTAACAGTCGCCCTTGCTGCAAGCCGCTGAAGACGGGGGGCGCTGGACCCCACAACAAAGCTGAGCGATGCTCCGACGAAGCCTGCAGCAATGAGGGCAGACAGGGCGGAGCCTCCACGACCTCGGCGCTGTGCCACCGCCATATCAAAGAGCGACGACACCAAACTGGCAACTCTCCAGCGTGAAGCCCAAGTGGCTGCAGAACGGCGATCCGCATGTGAAGTTACACAGGTACTTTCTATCAACAGCTCCGGTCAAGCGAGGGCAACAAGCCATGGAGAACTCCAAGATTCCAACCCACAGTGGACTTGAGAATGACAAGTACCTCAATCATGGCAGCCGACCCATATTTCGAACAGTGCAGGGGTATTGCGCCATACAATTCTCAGTACAACCTCAGATCATAGGATGTCGCAAGAGCTAAGCACAGGAATCCAGGAGCTTCCTGCGATCCCCTGCGGGCACTGTCGACAGGTTGGAAGCTCCGACACTGACCGTTGAGGCTGTGGAGGACTCTGCCTGCCAGGCCCGCAGATTCCCGAGGTCGCACGATATTGCACGCGCAAATGAACGGTGTCAATTTACGGCATCCACACCTGCAAATCTATGCTCTTGGCAAAGTAGTGCTGCAAGCGTGGGTCGAGCATCCTTAGTCATGCTGCAGTCGGCACAGTAGGGGGAGCTTCCTGGACCCAGTCTCTTGCATGTTGGGGTGATGGCAGGACCTTTCCAGCCGCTGTGCACTCTTGGCACCGTGCGAATCCAGCAGGGGACGCTGCGCTGCAGCATTCGGCGCGTGGCGTCTGAAGGCACGCGGGCGAGGAAGATGGCATGTGAGGGTTCAAGCTACCGGGGCTAGTCTGCGAGCACTTTCTGCATGCACTCAAGGGCAGGGCAAGACGTGCTCACGTCGAAACCCCCCAGGTTGAGCGATATCCTTGGCACGTGACGGACGTGAGAAGTACGCAGAAACACGAAATATCGAGTGTGAAGTCTATTCATGTTGGCTACACTGCATCCGCACATTGCTCAAGTCACCACTGAGCGCACAGTGTACTGCACGATAAGTTCCTCGAAAGCTTCCCTGCCCCCAAGCACTTCACCACGAAAAACACTTAGCCCCGAGCCATCAATTTCTGTTGTTTTTGCCTCTTCTAGGTCTCTGGCGCTGGCCCGGCCCAGTTCAGGAAACAATGGCTCGACTGGCAGAGGACTCACAGCTGTGCGAATCCCAAAAAACTTGGTAACTCGCTCAGTACGGGCTCTCGGATCATCAAGACACTCCTCCACTCCCTCAAGCAACAGAGCGGCTTCGAGCAACTTACCGGCTGTCCATGGCTGTCCTGCCAGCTCTGGAAGGGATGGAGAACGCTGGCAGCGAACCTTTCGAGGCACAGGTTTCCAGTTCCCGCCATGTGAAACCCGAGCACGGCAAAGCAGCAGTATCTGGTGCTCAATGTTGCTGACTTGTTGCTCGGGTCCGACCAGGTTTGGGGATGCTTGGGAGTGTCTCCCAGCGCTCGGCCTTCATGCCTCAAGCCATTCCTCGAAGCCCCGCCTGGAAGTCATCGTTCTGGAGACCACGCGCCTTGCAGGGGTGCTGAAGGGCCCTGATTTTCTGAGCCATCCATGGCAAACTTCATGGTCTAGATCCCTAGAATTCGCAATGCAGCTGAACAATGGCTACGGCACTGCCCACATCGGTGACATGGACTCTTGCAGATAGCTGAGGGCCTGCTGTGAACCGCTTCGGCTCAGTGACTTCTTGAAGTCACGCACAACCTCGTCCTTGAAGCGTGCTGTGACGAGGAGCTGCAGCAATAAGCAACATCAGCTCTCCTCGGCCATGGCCCTCCGTGCGAGGAACACCTTTAGCTTGACGGAAGCCCTGCAGCTTGCTATCTTCGAATGAAGCGGCAACTGAGTTATGGGCGCTGCCTGATCCTTGATATCCTTGTTGTCAAGCCATGCTGAGTTAGAAGAACATGAAGGCATCTAAGTGAAGAGCAGAGGTCCCCTATAGTGAAAATTCTGAGGTTGTTGCTGCTGCAAGCTTGATTCGCTTCTGCTTGGCACACTCAAGTCATTCCGGAAAGGACGTGTGCCCATTGGCGATCTCTTTCCCGTATGTATCAACCACAAGACCTGCGAAAACTTGAAACTACAGGTATGAAAAGTTGTCAACTTCTAACCAGTTGTAAACCTGTCAAAGTGACTCGGGGGTGTGGCAACATTTAATCTACTGCAGTCTCGTCGCACTGGAGCCGTCGAGGAAACTAACTTCAAATAGGAGTGGATCTGTCTCATGAGCCAGCCATTGCTGCACATTTCAGGCCGCAACTCTGCGAGGTTCCGTTTCTTTTTGCTTCAACTCTACAGAAACTCGGTTTAACGCATAAAAGCAAGTGGCGTCTTATTTGGAATGAAGCAGCGCCAGTGCGGGCAACTGCACGGTAAAGATCGAATCGATTCTCTGCATCATATCGCACAGGGTTATAACGTTCCATAGCATGTAAGACTCACATGTGCCACTGCACGCAAGTTCGACTTGCCTAGCACTCAAGCGAGGATCTGGTGGCAGCGTAGGACCACCAAATGAAGAGAAATGACGCCAGCACACACTGGACTGTCCTGCTGTTTGCTTACAGCATGTGAAACTGGTCGTACCGTATGCACCAGGTTGATATGTGCCAAACGACGCTAGTACGTCTCAGACGCAATCAGGTGCCATGTGCTGGCGGCGAATGGTGCGCATTTTGAGCTGGTACCTGTCGAGGCTTGAAATAGGAGGAAACTGAGCACACAACAGCACACAACTAGCAATCGCTCGCTACTTCGCAGCTGTAGTGCACGTCCCAATCTGTCTCTGCACGAGGGGCACAGAACGGCCACGATCCCCGTCGGAAGAAAAAGCAGAATGCAGGTGACCAAGGGCAGGTTCCAGTACCTTCAAGACATTCCCTAGCACGCTCCGGACTTGCTCCCTGGCTTGACCACATCTGTAAAGGACGAAGCAGAAGGGACCCTAGCTTATGCCAGAACACGATTCTCTGCTGCAAATGGAGAACGAACGCAACTCACCTTGCCAAACGCAAAAACACTTTGAGCAAGTGCTCAGAGACCTGCAACTTGCATGTGAAGAGCAGGGGCACCATTGTCCTGAAGGCATCTCTGCCGCTGGCACGGTGGCAACTGGCGCCTCTTTGTTGTAACCTCGCTGATGCGCACAATGCTATTGCAATTTAGTCTAGAAGGTGCTCGGCGACAACTCTGAGGGGCGGAGCCTTTTTCCCAAGGGCTCGGCAGCTGGACCTCAGAAGCAGAGATGCGTGCAAGGGTGTTTCACAATCAGGCACGATGTGTTTTGTGTGAATTCTGAGGCCTCAAAATGAAATACTGTAGACAGGTGGCGCCGCCAAAGACAACCAGAGGGATGAAGGACAGCATCGGCAGGAAGTAGCATGTCAAGACCTTAACTTCTGCACACTGCAGCATTCCAAGGCAAGAAAGCGCCCATCAACGGCTGCAGCAGGCGACATCACGTCACTTCGATAACTTACTTAACCGTCAAGAAACGAATTCAACTCATTGAACTTAATCTCTGGGCATCGTACCAAGCACAAAACACGGATGCCACATCTCTGGCAAAAGTTGAGCTGCCTCAGCACATGGGCTTGGTTTTACTGGGTGTTTGTACGGTGCTCGATTTGTGCCAAAGGAAAAACACGACCTCGTGGCCGCCAGTATAGGGGCTGCTGCGGGCCGTCATCCGCATCGTCAAAGTCGTCGACATCGTCACCTGCATCAACGTGCGGCACACTTGAAAAAACTTCCGCTAGACCCTCGAGCATGTACTTAAGAGATCCCAAGCATGACGCCATTCTTCGACCATATGAAACCACGACGATCAGCATGCAAATGCAATCAATCTGCAATCTGGTCCATCTCTCCAGGCGCCTTGGCTTTCCATCTGCAAGTATCGTCCACCTTCGTCCCTGCCACATTCAACCATGCCTCAATGCAACATGTGCAAAACCACCGCAACAGGACGAAACAACGATGCTAATGCATGGAATTCTGGCTACCAAGCGGCAAGTTTCAACTTTGCTGGAACACATCCGCAACACATGTACATGATGCGGAAACAACAAAAGAAAAGAGAGACAACAAACAGCACATGAGCGCATGCATCTGAGGCAACCACCTGCTACGCCAGGCAAAAATCAGCTTACTCAAAAATCGGTCCGTTGAGCAACATGGGCTGCCATCACGTGGGTAACATACATGAAAGTCTGCAATTACATCCAACGAATATTAGGTAAGCCAATGTTTGAACAGGCTTCCACTTGTTGTGACAAAGGATCTGTTGAGTTCGCGCAAAAACAACGCGGGCGTGCATTGAAGCGCCGTAAACTCACAAACATTGTTGCCGAGAAACCACGCCATCCAATTTCCACATCTCGCATACTGGAATCACAGTGAAACCAGGCCCCATCAAGACAAAATGGTACAAGAATCACTACTTGAAGACCAATGGGTCATCATGGGTGTTGAAACAGGCGACGTAGACTCCGTGGCATCAAGTCAAGAACTGGCTTTGAAAGTCAAGCACATCTCAACAAAATGAAAATGGCTTTCACAAGCCACTAAGTACTGTTAAAGAAGTATGAAGACTGATGGCTTGATCTTTGGATAGTGCCGGCAATTTTCGAGATGCAGGGCACTCCGCTGGCAAGAAAAGGCACGGGGGGCTTCAAGCTGATTGGGTCGGATAGTGGGTGGATTACAGGCAATTCCACCTGGGCATTTCGGCGAACTACTGCCCATTGATCATCCAGACGACCGAGGGACTTGAAGCTGCGAACTGGCTAGTGGCTGTACGGCGCTTTCATGAGTTGCACCACAAATTAGGCTTCACATCACAAGTACTTCCGTGGCAAAGGCTTCTTTTGGCTGCGGTTTTGAAAGGGGTGGTTCTATCAGTGCCCTGATCAGGTGCATTCTGTCTTTCTTTGTTGGCAAGCTTCAGAACGGCACCATCGGACAAAAGCATTTGGTGTAGCGAACAAAGACTTTGGAAAATTGGTGTCTTGCACCGAGACAGGTGGTGGTCCTTGGAAGCTGGTTTTTCCACACAGGGCAATACACCCAGAAGGCGCCGCGGTTCAACTTCGACTTACTGCACAGGAAGCGTCGTGGCTCTTCAATGTCAAAGAGTCGTTTTGGGATCGTTTCCGGTAGAAACTTTGCCCACCTGCTAAAGTTGTCGATCTTCTTTCGCTGTACCACCACCAGACACACAAGCAATAACGCCGTTGAGCCTCTGTCTTTGAAACGACCTCCCACCAAAGCGCCACTCATCAAAAATCTGCACAACAGTGATGGGGCTGGACGGCTAAAGTAGTGCCCAAGCAACGTGAGAACCAAGAGGTGGATCGGCTCATCAAGCATGACTTTAGTTCGTTTTCAGACATGAACGTCTGCAAGTGTCATTGGAGGAGTTTTCGCTCGAAACGTTGCATACATTGCTTCAATATGCTGACTTGAATCTGCTCATCAATCCTCAAAGGGACGAGGCAAGCCTGGGGTCAATTCCTCGCCCGCTTGATACCAAGCTCAGCTAGCATATCCATGCTCGCACACGTCACCCTTTTCCTTTCACCTGGCGCGTTTTCTCCTGTATCGTAGCCTACTGCCAGTAGGATGTTGCGTTGGAAACAGGCCAGGTCATCTATTCTTGGCAGGCCCGCCTCTCGGTTCCTCAGTACGTGCACCGAGAGCCCGTGCTTGAAACCACGGGCCGGTGGCTCCGAGCTGGGCCTACCGACGGCGTCGGCCCGATCGATTGGGGTTTGTGTTCCAAATCAGGAACATCGGATTTGCCTGCGAACTGCGACGTTCCGCCCGTGAAACCAATCTGTCTGGCGGAGCTGTGACGGCGTACAGACCCTGCGAAAGCTTCACTCGTGTTGGAACCAGAAACACGGCACAGAGCCTGCGCTCGGAGCTGCTTTCCCAGGGATAAGCATATATGGGAGTCGGCCAGCAGCGCGACACTGAATGCGCCGCTTGTTGCTTTATCGGACGCCTCCGACATGATGCGCAGGAGACTTGGCCTGCGCTGCAAGGCCATCATACCCATCATTCTAAGCTATGCGCCGTGCACCGTTGCCCAAAGCGCTTGGCCCAACTCCCCAACGACGCATAGTACCATGGCCAGACTACTAAAGGCTCACACACCTGACGCCGCGCTTTTCGCCTTACACAAACTCAACAATCACATGACTCTACCACATCATTCCCCAGCCCAGTCAGCTCTGCGCAAGATTTTCCGAAACGACCCAAGACAAACAAGCCATTGTTCACGGTACCTTTGATGCACCCAACCGCTACATCAGACCTCAAACAAGCTCTCCAACAACGGCTGTCAAGCCTCAAACAACACATCTTTCTGACAAGGTGGTGACCGAAACACACTGCCCTCCAAGCGGTACTACACAACTGCAGACCAGCACACCCAGGCTGGTCACCACACCAACCTCCAAATTGCACTTGTCAATCGCGTGGCCACCACAAAGACCCGCAACAACAACAACAACAACAACAACAACAACAACAACAACAACAACAACAACAACAACAACAACAACAACAACAACAACAACAACAACATGTGGCCACTATGTGGCCACACCGCTGGCACTTTGTGCCCTGCATACGTTCTGGTCGTTCTCGGGCAAGATCACCCTTCTACCCGCCACACACACTTTGCAACGGTCCATTTACACAGGTGCGAGGGGCACAGGCATCACCACCTCCCTTGCCAACCCAATGATCGACCTGAGATCGCTCCTACACCCGCAACACGATTCAACGCCCTTTGGAGGGAAACGCCCTCCGAATGGAAAGAACTTCTCACAGGATGACCCCTTCGTTGGGAAACGCCCCAGAGTTTTTTCACATGCCTTGGGACAGGATCCTTTCTAAGACAGGAATACACCGGGCACAGGAAACGTCGAAGGAAACGGCTTTTGAGAGGGAAAACTGAACTAGCGTCACCTCTCCAAAGGACAAATCAAGTAACCAACCAACCAACATTTCACACGCACCGGAGCAAAACATGCAGTTGACCACTCAAGCGAACCACTGTAGATGTTTACGCGTTGCAGCGGACAAAAAACTCTCAGAGGTGATCACACTGAGCAACCATGCACTCTCCTGTAAGCAAATCTGCGCAAGACAAAACTGGCAGCTGGGAACATCTTTTTGGCTCTCTGCGCACACGGAAAAAGATGTAAGAGCCACCAAAAGCGCTTGCACGGCTCCAAACACGCAAGTCACTCGGTGGCCAACTACTCTTTGCTGAAGACAGCTTTAAATACTCTCGAAAGAGGGGAGAAAGCAAAACTGGCCGCTGACAACCTTCAAGCCGCAAGTGAGACACACATTCCAGTCTCATGCATTGCATCTGAAGTGCTGCTTGTGACCACTTGCAAGACATTGCGACTTCTAGCCCTGGCTCCTCTTTAGCGGCTGATGCACAAGACTTCAACACTGCTGCTGTCTGTGTTTGGTTCACGTTTAAGACCTTTGAGGAACATGGCCGTCACTGTCCCACACGTTCAGGACAAGTCGAAGCTCAGACGTGGGCAGATAGGACGATATTTTCCGCCGTGAAAAGGACACTCAACTGCAGCTGAATGACTGTCTTTCGCCACAAGAATTCTGCGAGTTCTCCATTGCCTTATTTCACCTGCAAGAGACAACCATCTATTTGCTGTTTGGACGTTGCAAGCAAGCACAAGGATGACACGCAAAAAAGAAACGTGCACCACCAAACGGCGCGCCGTGTGAAACAAACTCTTTTTCCAAAAAAAATGACCACCAATACGGTGCATGTGTTTTTTTGAGAATCCATTTTGCGCCTGCACGTGGCCAGGCCTGAAATAGCAGCCATTAAGGAACTGTTGTGGGTGCCGTTCCGACTGCATTCCTAGCAACGCTGCCCACCCAGCCGTGTGTGCATCCTCCCATTGTGATACTACCGAACAGGGAGCACCGCGGAAAGATGACAAGACAATGTCTCCAGCAGGGATTGAGAAGGTCAGGCCGTGTTGCGTCCAGAAAATTGGGTGGTCCGTGGGATGAAGCACATGAGCAAAAGGCATTAACCTTCTTCAAGTGGCAGGACTTGAAGGGATGGCAGGCGACCGGCCAACATCTCTCTCAGTACCTCGCTGCGGCTGCTGGAAATTTCCCACATTGTCCACGCCTGTCGCTTTTCCCACATTGTCCACGCCTGTCGCTATCCGGAAGCATGCACCGTTTACGCAACAGGACAGAGGACGATGGATGGAAACTTGCGCCCTGTAAGCTAAGCCAATCACTAGCAAGCACTAAATCAAGCATAAGACCAGGCACTCAAGCTGCCGGGCGTACTTTTTCAATAAGTGCGTCATCTATCGGAACCTCCGCTCTTTTGGAAGATGCAGAAGGGCATCCCAAAGGAGTCCAGCATCCTCCATTTCTTGTGGTTCCAAAGCAGCAACTTGGCTGCCGTGGACATTGAGGTGCTGTTCGTTGTGTGCCGCCGCAAAGTTTGACTGTTGTAGTAATCGAGACATGCAATACCCCACCGGTGCCTACCCTCTTACAGGGGCATTTCAGGTAGACTCACTCCATCCATTCTTAGAATGTCGGCCCAAAATGCACATTCTTATGGATATCTTTAAGTTCCAATTGCAGTTGTTTTCATTGTCTTTCTGGTCAATCGACAGCTTACCGGGCTGACGGCACTCACCAAAACACTTGCCGAACGATCTGTGTGTGTTTTGGTTCAGGGCGGTTTCTCGAACTCTTTCTGAAGCTTGCAACTCAACCGAGAGATCATCCCGACAGAAAACAAAGAAAACATTGAACAAAAGCAAGAGAAATTTTTTTATTTTTAAAGCGGACGCCTCTTTACTACATCAGCAGCACAGTAGGCCGATCTTGTGGGTCTCGCAACTAGGT